CTCTGTCAATTCCTGATCCCTACTTCCAAGTGGGAAGGGAAGCATGGGCCACACTGGGAGAATGGTGGAGGGGTAGAAAAATGAGCTTCAGACAACCTCATTCCTAAAATATATCTTTTTAGAGAAATGATGCTATGAGTGGAGGTTTCGTATAGTTGAGACAAACCGAATTGCCACTTTGACATCTTACGGACTAAATCGGCTTTCTGGGCTTGGATGTAGGCACAATTTGCTATGTTGTTTCTGTAAAGAAATACAGTCTGAGTTCTCCCCCCCCAAAAAAACCAATTTATATTTGAACTCCAGGACCACAACTCATTTGTTAGTAAAACTGCAGTAATTGTTTTCTTTGGGTATTTTTAATGAGCCAGATAAACCAAAAACCATCCAAAGCAAATGGTCAGTAATTAAACAATATGTACAAATCTATAGCAATTAAGCTTATTTGAAAAATAAATATTCATGACATTGAGAATGGTGAGAATATTGCAGGACAGAAGTTGACTGAAATCAATGTATGATGTAGCAAGAACAGATTTATCCAACAATTTTAAGCTGCATTATTTTAAAAAACCATCCATGCAATAACTGTAGGCTGAGAAACTAACATTTTACTGAGTACAAAATCATAAGTACAGGCCGGGGATTTAGCTCAGTGGTTACACCGCCTGCTTTGCAATCACAAGGACCCAAGTTCGATACCTGGTACACACACACACACACACACACACACACACACACACACACATACACACAAAATCGTAAGTACAGTTAACTATGAACCAATTGGCCAATTCAATCTCCATGAGAACTCTGAGAGGCATTATTATACCCAATTTTACCAATGAGCTAAATTCGAGCACAAAGAAGTAATTTGCTCAAGGTCAAAGTGGTACCCTGGGCATTCTGACAACCGACTTTCATTTGTAATGTCGCATAATACTAAACTTTTACAGTCAAAGCCTTATAAATCTTCAGACTTTACCATTTTCCAAAACACAGACTCTTACAAGGATTTGCTTTTATTTAATACTGCTTATGCATTTTTAGTAGTTACAATTTCTTTGGGTTGAAATTCCTACCTAGTCTCTTTCATTTTGAGAATTTGGTACAGGTAACACAAATCAGATGCGATCATCCCAGACTTAACAGTGTCTCTGCTGCACGTGCAAAGTGGGACAGCCACTTCTGTCGTCTGCAGTATGGATTCTGTCAGAATTATCCCAGCCCAGCCTGCTGCTGGAGGGGTGGGGCACAAACAAGAACAGGCTCCGCGTTTATGAAGCTGAGGTCAAAGCTCACTTTCTGCCGCTTCCTGAACAAATACTTCGCTCTCTGGGCGTCTTCCATCTCTCATCCAATGAAGATAATCCTCACTCTGCACTTTATAATTATTGAACAAGACCTCCCCAGAGCTAGGAATCGGAAGTCCTGCCACTGTTAACCTCTGCCTTGTATATAAAATAGATTCTACTGTGCACCTCGCAAAGGGGTAGGATTTGAGCACATTGAAAGCACCTTGTGAAGCGGGTAGAATTTCCCACCCTGTGTTAAGTAGTTCACTCACAGCTCAGCTGAGCAGAGGCACTAGAGTCACACTTGTGCCAGGCGGAGGACACAAGCTTTAGATCCTCAGGTTTTTCTAATAAGAACCCCTTTCTCCAAAGGGAAGGCAGCTTATGCGAATAGAAGTCGGGGAGCACACAGGTCAGCTGCCATGGTAGCTACCAATTCTGGGCACTTGAGAGAAGCCATTGCAGCTCCCTGTTTATCCGCAAGGGAATGAAAACCTCACTCGTGGTCAACTCAACTTCTGACTGGTGCAATAAATCTATGACTTTAAAGAACTGATCATGAATCTGGGTACCGACGCCGGCCACTCAACTCTGGCACTGTGGTCCTGGCGGAGGGGACGGCAGTGTTGAGGCGGATCGGGCGGGCACCGAGGCGCAGGATTTCTGTAATTGGCCTGATGAATCATTTGATGAAATGGACAGTACACTTGCTGTTTAGCGGCATATTCAACAGAACACAAGGGCAGATTGCTCCAATACTGACAAAATCCTTGAACCACCTGAAGGCCAAGACGAAGGTGTGTGGAAGTGTGAACACTTAAGGCAATCTGCCTTGAACTAAATGGACTTGCTGTTAAACTTCAGAGCAAATGCCATCCAGGTACTTGTACTCAGATGACAGCAACTGAACAATGGATTTTTCTTTGTGCTGCTCATAAAACGCCTAGGCTACACCAGACACACACTGGACGGTGCTGCCTGCCTTCTCAGTAGCAATAAATATTTTCCCAGCAGGGTTAGCATAAAAGAATCATCTGTAGCAAAACTAGGATCCGTGTGTCGTAGGATTTACAGAGTATTTTCACATGCCTATTTCCATCACCGGCAGATATTTGATGAATATGAAAACGAAACATTTTTATTTTATGTCATCGGTTTACTAAATTTGTGATGAAATATAATCTGATGTCCAAGGATAACTTGATTGTACCAATTTTAGAAGAGGAAGTTCAGAATTCAGTTTCCGGCGAGAGTAAAGCATGAAGGGAACGGGAGAGATGCACAGCTCACATAATTAACATTAATTATGTACTGTACATACATCATTTTAGACACATCAGTCATGTATCCACAGTCCAGCTTCTTTGTTTAGGGTAGGGTTGGTATGCTGTGTGTTACCTTTGAAATGGGAAATACTTAAGTTATTCATGAGCTGTATATTCACTGGTGTGGCACTCATGGTTTTTAAATAAGATTAGTATTATCTGTTTATAATGCCTATTAATAAAAGAATTTACAGTTTGGTAAAATTGCTGCTAAACAATCATTGGATCACAATCCTCATCAAATAAATCTATCTGTTAAAAAAAAAAAAAGAATTGATCATGGCTTGGTTCCCACTTAAATCTCTCTCATGATGTATTGCTGTGGCCCAAAGGATTTTGGAAGAACTTGGAAATTCTAAAATAACCATCCATGTTCTGAGTGAGCTGAAATTAGTTAGAAACCTTTGCAGAATCAAACCATTAGGGAAGTGGAGAAGGTGTCCCCTCCCAGAATTACGGGAAGGACTCAACTTCTTTCCAGATTTAAATATACCTATGTGAAACTTCTGACAAATAAATTGAGGTCAAATGAGAAAAATCATAAATCTCAAAGATATGCAGGGAGGTAGGGAGAAGTAAAGGATTAACTTTTTTTTTTTTGGTACCAGGGATCAAACTCGGGTCCTTGTGCCTTCGGGGCAGGCAGTAGAACCACTGAGTTAAATCCTGGGGCCTGAAGGATTAACTCTTAACAAAGCAGGCTGGATTTAAATGTTAGCTTTCATTCCCTCCTTATTGAAGATGCGGTCAGTTCTGACAATTACCAGTAACACACAGACAGGGCTTTTCAGTTCCTACAGAATGTTCAAGGAAACAGCATCATTCCACCAAGCCCTTGATACACAGATGAGAACTGGATTCCCTGACCTCTGGACTTGGTCTATTTCACCATGTGATTTGTCAGCTGGGGTCTTGTGACTCAACCACTTTAGAAGGTTACTGAGAGCTGGGGCTATAACATAAATTTTTTTCATCTCATATTGGGCTCCGTTCACATTTAACAAGTACTGACAGCTTGAGGAAAAGAATAATTAATGACCTATTTTGTAAATAAGATTTTGAACAATTTCCTACAATTATTAAAGTGTTAACCACCAGGCAAGTACTTTTAGGGCCAGGTGTCGGGCGTTCCAGGGAAAGGGCTGATACCCCTTTAAATGATGGTTCTATCTAGTTGTTAATTTCAGATGAGCTCCTCCAAAGACTACAAGGCACCAGTTTAAACTAGCCACAGCCACCCAAGCCCCTCTTCTAGGTAGTTTCACTCCTTACAGTGTAATGCTAAATTCTTCACCCCAGGGACTTCCGGTCTGCCATTTTTGAAAAAGCTGTGAAGCAGCATGAGCTGAAACTGAGCATGCTCGGGAGTGTGCCCACATATAGATGTGACAGTGTTTCCTATATGAACATGCATGAGGTTCCACGATACCAGCTCCTTGCTTGCTTTGTTCAGGCAGAGGCACTGAGTTGAGAATAAGCCCCAGTACTCTCTCCTTAGGCGCTTCCACCAGAAACCTCTTAACCTCCTGGTTGCACTTCTAGTTTGTACTTACCAAGGGATCAACCCACTGCATTCAGGGACAGAAGTAACAAAGGCAGGAGCTATGGCACACCTACGAAACAAGTACCCAAGGATATGCAGCCAGTAGAGTGAAGCCTTCCAACTGCTGGCCTGCACCCAGCAATGTGCACCCTGGGCTGAGCCCTGGGGCACATGACAACCTTGGGATGATTTATGATAAGGGTTTGTACCTGACCTCAACCCGGAGCAACTGAAGAAACAAGAGCAAAGCAGGGTATCACTTTCACGAGAAGAATACTAACTAGCTCACTATGCTTATGCTTGAACATTATCCAACAATAAGAGAGTTCTCTACAAAGCACGATTTTAAATTATAAAATGATGTTTATCAATTTGATCATCAATTTGACCTGAAAGCCAAGATCAAATTATCTTTTACTAACTCATGTAATGAAAAACTTTTTTACCCTGCTTCAAGGACTTAAGGGCTTGTTCAAATGTTTCTGGATTTGATATGGTCCATAATCCCTGCATAGTTTCAAAATACTACCATCAACAAACAGAGCTGGAAAATGCTACATACTTGTATCCTGCTAATGTGATTTAATGGTCTTATACAATGTACTGGACGCTGGCTGGACATGTCATGTTCTCATATAATCTTTATGATCGACATTCTAAATTGTGTCTTTTAATATAACTAAATATGTTCACTAAATATACTAATAAGTATTCACACATCTCTGTTATTTGTTCAAGCATTTTTACTTTTGTAAGAGGCTGTCGTTAGCAAAAAATTACGCCAATATTTATAATGCCTTTTGTATTTAGGAATTATTTTTACAAAGAAAAAAGTGATTTTTATTAGAAAAAAAGGCCTTTATTTTAATACATCACCAGATATGAAAATGCACACCAAGGAAATATAATGGTTTTGAGAACAAAGCACGATAGAAAGCATGATATGCTACATCTCTAAGAACTGGACTGCCTGCCTCGCAAGTGCAAGGTCCCGAGTTCGATGCCTGGTATCAAAAAAACAAACAAACAAAAAGAACTAACTGGAAAAAACATACACACTCCCCACAACCCTACATACACATATGTACAGGATATGTAAGTGATGTATGAAACACACTGGAAGAGAAGGACATGTTTTTCTTAGAAACATACAACATGATTTTCCTTCATTTCATTCAGCTCAAAGAAATTTTTGATTGAAAATTATTTCCTGTCTAACACTACACATAGGAAAGATCATAAAGCAGAAGTTCCCGTTTTTCCTGTAAGTTGCCAATTGGAAGTTTAAAACGCGTTTTGCATTTTTTCATGTAAAATGCACATACAAACAGAAGCTGTCGTGGTGCTCGCCATTTAATTATAACAAATGAACAGGAAGTTTACACGGGACTATTCACAGTACAGCAGACAACTGGGTGCTCAGTGCTTCCGAACTTGTCCCTGTACACACAGGGCACTGCAGGGGACAATATGTTGGGCTCATCAGGGAGTGTTTGCTCCTGAATGCTAAAGTGCTCCCTGATGAAGGAAAGTCCTTGGAGGAGACCTGTCCTGTCCAGCACTGTCACTCCCTGGGGGTCTCGATGCGGGGTCCCCCTCACTGGACCCGACAGTTCTCGCTGTTCATGGGCTGAGGCCTGGCGTCCGGGCTGGGGACCAGCGGGCTGCGCCTGGTTCTGGGGCCGTCTCCAGGGCTGTCGGCCGGGCTCCTCCCAGAAAAGTGACGGACAGAGACAGACGTCACAGTGGGCTCTGCAGACCCCACCGGGCTCTGTTGCGCAACCTTGACCTGCAACACACACACCTTGGTCAGAGGCTGGGATCAGGTTCATGTTCACAACACGAAGATGAAGCACCAGGTCACCAAGTTAGACCTGTACACAATTTTATTACTCCCCTTCCTGAGAGCAGCCCCCACCCTAACAGAGGACTTCGGAGGATGTGGGACACAATCTCTAACAAGTCATCACAAGTCTTGGTCACTTCTGATGGCCAGTCTGGCTTTCTGGCCAAGCGTGGCATTTTTAGGCCAGAAGGGACTCTTTGGAACAAAGTTTCTGTTTACTGTGTATCCCTAACACTCACAATACACTTGACCATAGGAAATGTTTGATTAACACCTCGGCAAAAGCTGCCTGTTTGCCCTCACCAAACCCCGACTGTCATGCGAACTGAGTAGAAACCAAGTTAGTAAAACTTCATCGGGTAGAAGCTACGTTTACAACATTTAAAAGACTTACGGCCTGGCCTCATATTAAAAAGCATTTTAATCATACTCCTTATATTGTGTGTTTCCAGTTGGAGTCCATCCAGCCTCGGCAGCTTAGCAAGACTGGTACAACAGAAGAGGGGAGGAAAGGGAGGAGAGGGGGGAGGGGAGGGGAGGGGGAGAAGAGGAAGAAAGGAGAACAGGATGTCTCATGTCCGTGTACCAACTCCCCATGAGGAATGTAATCATTATGTATGCCAAACACACACTAATAAAATATAAAAACTGAAAAATTTTTCCTCGACCAAAAAAAAGCCCTGAGTGTCTACGCCACTGCTTTTAAAAAAACAATACTCTGTTCTACATTTTTAAAACTAAATGATGAGGGGGCCAGGGATTTAGCTCAGTGGTTCCAGCCTGCCTTGTAAGTGCAAGGTCAAAAAACTAAATGATGAAATATACTTAATGGACGTGGCAAGCGCTTTGCTGGGTAACTCAGAAAATGCTGAATTAATCGGTAAATGACTAGGCTAGGTTTGGAAGACTTTGGACCACTGTCTCGGTCCCTTTCCAGCAGACCCCCATTGCGCATGCGCCAGTACAAGCTGCAGGGCAACTCCGGACAGCTGAGAGTAGCTCTGCGCAGCCGCAAACCTGCAGGAAACCATGGTTACCACTCTGCACCCGCGGGCTCAGCAGCAGTGTGCAGAGCAGGCCCCCTAGCGTGCAAAGCATTCTAGATTATAAATCCGAATGCCACATGCAAACCGCCTTTACCAGCAATTCCTCATTGGAAAAAAAGAAAAAATGATCCGTGTGGTGATCTGATAAGACGATTTCCCAGGACACCTTTACAAACATCAACAGTCTGTGGCCACCTCGTGACAACAGTCACAGCTATGGTATTTGTTGAATCTCAGCCTTTTTGTTGGACAGGAGGACATGGAATCCACACAATCAGTTACCTACTCATTCCGCAACTCAGAAGCCAAGTATTCAGGGGTGACAGAAAGGGAGCAGTGGGAGATGACAGAAGTGGAGAGTGCTAGCTAAGTGGTTTTCTGCTTTAAGAGACCTACGGATACTTCATTTGCTCTCTGCAAGGATCGACCAACAGGAATGGATCTCACTTTTTACTGACGGCTGAGGGAAGAGGCTCCCAGTCACCCACCCAATCCAGGAAGTGACCGGGTCGACACCAGGAGCCCAAGCCTGACTCCCGTGCAAAACAGCGCAGTGGTGTGTCGTGGCTGTATTGTTGGCAGAAACCAAAAGTTAAACCCAAAGGAGAAAAGCAGATGAAGAGAGACAATGAATATTTGAGAGAACGAAGGAAAACGTACACAAAATGGTACACTATTTCTAACACCAGTAATGGAGGCGCCGTTTCAAAGATTGAAAGAAAATCTTAGACTTTTCTCGTCCTTGAATTTTATTGTAATACGAATTAGCAACAAACTTATTAGGAGGTTATAACTTGTGTGTAGCTGATGTGTTGTGTACACATCAACAAAAACCAATATGCAAATGTGTTTCTGTTTTGATGCAACTTATGACCAACACTTTTTGCATTTGGTATGCAAAATCCTAATGAGGAGCAAGCTTGCTCACAGAATTATTACCTTTTAAAAAAGAGTTACTATACTTACAAAGCTTTTTTTTTTTTTTTTTTTTTTTTGCTAGTTCCAGCTTCTTATTGGGTCACTTAAGCTCTGAAGAGTGAGCAAAGTAACACCATAAAATTTTAAAACTTCTCGAAGCTAGTCTAGCCATTTCCAACAATATTCCCATGGTGCCAGATTTGAGAAAGTCTGGCATTGTGGCAAGCGCAAGGTCATGGAGCTGAGAGAGAGGAGCTGTGGACACTGGGAGGTTACATCTTTATGAGTCTCACTTGCTTCATTCTTTTCTAATAACCACGACTGTGGCTTAAATCTGAAGGGAGGGATTCTGAAATTGCCTTATGGGGGTGTGTAGATGATGCGCTGTCAGAAGGCAGGATCTGGTTAGAATTGGTGGGTCACTGTACATGTAACTCGGGAGGGTTTATCTCCCTTCCCACTTCCTTTGCTCTCTACTTCCTGTCCCCAGGCTGGGAGCAGCTCCCCTGCCTTGGAGCCAGCAGGCTATGGACTGAAAACAGGAGCCAAAACAAACCTCTCTTTGCCTAGGCTGTGGGTGTCAAGTATTTGTCCCAGCAATAGGAAAAGTGCCCAAGACAACCACTTACTATGAGAGCTCAGTAAATAAGAAAATAAAATGAGAGAGTTAAATAAAATGCATGTGTATCAGACCAACAAGAATGGACACTATTTTTCACTAAGGGGCGAGGATGGCTCCCAGTCATCCATCTAGGAAATGACACCACCTACCCCAGGAGCTCATACCTGGCTCCTCTGACTCCTGATCTGTTAGCCAATACTCTCTGTGTGTTAAACAGCATTTTCTGGGCTGTCTGTAAAGCACATAGCAGTCACAAAGATCATGCCCTATCCTCCAAAATCATAGCAGACAAATCCAGGAACTCAGCCCTTTCTTTACCTATCTACTGAAACAGCGCTTTCTCCAGAAAGCAAAGAATTACTAAAAGCCATGAAGACTCCATAGTTGGGGCCAGATGAAAATGGAAAGTCTGGAAAAAAGCAATGATGAGTACCCAGGGCAGAGGGGAAACTACCCTTCAAATCCTGCAAGTCGCACTGGAATCCTCTGCACTGTCACACAGCACATGGCTGAAAGGTGGCTGTCAGGGTGGGGACCAGCTCGGGCCCCAGGACACTGTCACACTCATCCCAGGCTCGCTCCTACCGACTCATCTGCACCACGACAGGAAGAAGCTCAGACCCGAAGGGCTACTGAGTGGAGGGCACAGCATGGGGCTGGGGCCCCAACCCCACTGCGATTTCCCGAGTCACAGATGGAAGCCAGACGTTCGCTGGAGTTTACCTTTTGGGATCTGCTGCCACTAGCTGTTGGTTTGGAGGACTCTTCGAGATTTTCTTTGCCCACACTCAGGGGGGACAGGGCTGACTTCAGCGCAGCCAGGCGGGGGCTGGTCCTGGTGGCCACAGTGGTCCTTCGAAGGACGTAGGGGCTGGTCTTTCCGGTTGGGATGTCAGCAAACCCTAAGGGCGAAGACGCTGGCTGTCAAGGCTGCTGGGTCCAATTCCACACACAGTGGAACCACGCACACCAGGCAAAGTCTTAACACAGACAAAGCTAACTCCAAAAATGTTTTCTCCCAGTCCCAGAGACCAGGTACCAAACTTCAGAGTTTCCCTGGGGGTCACCAACTCGAGTGCATTACTATCATGTTTTCTTTGTTTAGAAACAAAGAACCACATGGGGAAAGAGGGAAAAGGTAGCATTATGCACCCCCAAAATATTTTTTTTTCTGCTTCTTCTCCTTCTATATGAATGTTCTAGTTTGCATTATTCTAAGATCCAAAGTACACCAGCAGACCTTACTGTAAAATTTGGATGGGGGAGGAAGGGCTGACATGGAAAAGAAAAATAAAAAAAGCCAGCTGTTACTTGAAGGGAAGAAGGGTGAAGCGATAACGGAATCTTCAGGCAGCCACTGTGTTGGAGGACGAGGTGAGGCAGCCTGGCCTTCCTAAAAGTGACCACACACTGGCTTGTATCAGCTGCTTCCAGAGAAAGAGCAGACACTGACAGCAAGGAGCAAAGGCCACCAACCCGAAGGACATGAAGAGAGAGTGCATCACGCTCCCCAAAGGCGCTCAGGGCTAACAGAGGCAGTGGCTATTTGTAAGCCTTTATAAAGAAAAATCACCCATCAGAAAGAGAAAGCTAACTATGCACTCCAGCCATTCAGTACTGTTTTTCTGGCCGGGGATTTAGCTCAGTGGTGCCGGCGCCTGCCTCAAAAGGGCAAGGACCTGAGTTCCATCCCCAGTACAAAACAAAACAAACAAACAAAAAGCAACCCACACAGGACTGTTTTTCCAACAACCCAGCAAAGAATGAGTTTTGATTTGGGGAGGGGGATTTCCAATCTGCTGTGCAATGGTATTCTTGAATAATAAAATAAGACTAAACCAAAAGCAAAAACATCTACGTACTCAGATGTTGCAACAATACCGACTGCTATGAAAATTTCTAACCTCTTACTCACAATTTCTGAGCACTTTTGATCATGAACCTCCAGTAGCAGGTGGTTCTGTGACCGGACCAGCATCTCTTGGCCACACCTGGGCTAGCACAGAGTTTAAAAATAAAAAATATGTTCGGAGGCGCCAGCCACAGGGCCAGCATCCCCAGGGTCATTGTCCTCCTCATCTGCTATCTGTATCTGACACAAGGAAAGAAAGTTTTGAGGGGGTTCCTGAAGAAATATCAAAAACTAAACAGTTTTCTGACAGTCATTTTTCAAATCCACCCACTCTTTGTTGTAGTGGGTCACGAGGAGCTAATCCTCATCATTTTTTTTCACAACAGAAAGGAAAATGATACCTTACCAATTTAAAAGTGAACCATGGCTACCGAAGGGCAGTTGGAACTGTTCCACAATAACCCCAAAATGTAAAAGTCAGTGTTTCTGTTTTTTCATATGTGAATTATTGTACAAAACTTCAAAAGAACACACGTGTAATTTTCAGGGTTTTTTTGCTTTGTTTGGCCAAGGTGGGGACAGAACCAGGGCTTCACACATGCTAGGCACACGCTCTACCACTGAGCTGCACCCCCAGCCCGTGATACTGTTTTTAAATCATGCATACCTTTCTTTACAACTTCCGAAAGCCCCTCCGGCTCAAACTCTTCTTCATCCTCGGCAGGGTGGATGCTACCACTTTTGACCACTTTCCTACTTTTCTTAGGAAAGGTCTCTGGGGTAGAAGGTGTTAGTCCTCCTCTGCTCTCCCAATTCCCACTGCACCTCTGCCTCTTGCCGGAAGCTTTACTTCGGCCAGATGAGGACCTCCCTTCCCCAACTGAAGGGGCTGGACACGGCTCTGGCGTGGTGGAACTCTGCAGGGAAGAGCCGCTAAGACCGTGCTTAGGGTGCTGTGAACTCAGGCGAGTGACCTGTGTTTCCAACATCTCCTTCGCTTTCTCCAGCTTTTCATAGCTGATCAGCAGGGAACAGTACTTATCCAGGTACTCGTCGGCCTCCTTGGCTTTTTCTTCAAGAGTTTCTTTCAGCTCTCTGATCTCAGCCATTAGCTCATCCACATTTACATCCACAAGAGCACCTGTTCCAAAGAGAGTGGCATGTCACATGCAAGCTGATGCTGCTTCTACCCTGGGGTGCAGACCACCTCTGACTTGTGCTCTGCATTTTGCTGAGGGGTTAGGGAGAGTTATCTATTTGTGTTCTTACAGTTCAAACGATGTATCACAACCAGGTAGAGTCTAGCAGACAACATGGTCTTACTGGAACAGCTCAAATAAAATCCACCAAATCTCTACCTCCTGTTAAACTTCCTTGAGGAAGTAGGTACATGAGATAAAATGAACTAACGTTTTGTACCTTCTTTCCCCCCCATCCGTTCTTCCCACCGTAAGTAAACAACAGAAGTCAGGAAAGATCATGAAATCTGTGGAATGGCTGTGGGGACAGAAGGTGACAATGACAGGGCCCTCAAACCCCAGAGGCACTGGAGTTCTAAATGACAGTTTGGGGGAACAATATAAAGCCTTAGTCAACTACAATGGAACCTTGACTTACAAACTCAGCTCATTCTAGAGGGCTGGTTGTAACTAACGTTGGTCAATTGAAGGCTCAGGCTCCTCCACACAGCCTTCACAGTCTCTCCTGTACACAGGCGGATCTCAGTGTCCTTAGAGAGACACTGGCCCAGGATTTCTCAGTTAACCCCACACAGGAAAGGATGCTGTCGTGTTCCTTCCAGAACTCTTTAAGGGTTAAATCTGTTATCTGAGACCATCTGGAAGCACAAGCAGCCGGCATTCAGGTCATAACTCAAGACTTCAGTTACAAGTTAAAACTAAAATTCTGGTTGTAACCTAAGTTGTTCTTATGTCAGACCATGCATAACTTGAAGGTCCACTGTTTCTGCCACAGGTGGCTTTAAATCCATTAGAAAAAAAGCTCTGAAGGGGCCGGGGATGTAGCTCAGTGGCACTGCACCTACCTGGCAAGCACAATGTCCTAAGTTTGATCCCTAATACCAAAAAAAAAAATCTCCGAAGCCTCAACTTACCCCAAGCACTCAGAGCAACAGGGGCGCAGCTGACCACTCTGCCGAGGTATGGGGCAGAGCAGCCACACGCGCCAGCCTGCTGTCACTCACCCCAGGGGAGTGTGTCCCTGAGAGTCGGAGAGGAAAAAGTGACCGAAAGGGAGAGGTACTCTCTGTCGTTCTGCTTTTGTTTACAGATCCCAAAATTTAGTTCCCCATCCCTTCCTCTTAGTTGACCCACGAGACTGGGCCAGGACCAGTCAGAACCAGCTACTTACAAGTTAGCAATGTCAACACGGATGCCAGTCTGCCTTTAACGAAGAAACTACTTCAATGGGCATGAACATGACAAACTCTTCTTAGAGGCTCACAGGCAAAATGCAGCACCAGCCTGTTGTGGTGGTGCACGCCTGTGATCCCAGCACTTGCGAGGCTGAGGCAGGTGGACTGCTGTGAGTCTGAGACCAGCCTGGCTACATAGTGAGCTCAAGGCCGGCCTGAACTACACAGTGAGACCTTGTCTCAAAAAAAACAAACTGCAAGAAAAGGGTAGCACCAGAGTTCTTTGCAAGTTTTCAAGCAGAGAAGATCAAACAATTTCCAAATGCAGGCTTCGTTCAAAATCCTATGACCCCAAGCAAAGCCCCACATTCAGAAACTAGAAAATGAATCACTGCTAAAAATGGACTCAAACAGAGCTGTAGAATCAGCTCCTCTGCATGCACACCCGAGCGTGCCCTTTCACTACTGGGAAACAGGCATGCCCTCGCAACACCCACCTGTTTTTTGTTTCTGGGCAGCTTCTAGGTCAGAGAGCTCTTTCTGCAACATTTTCTTCTCCTCTTCCAGCTGTCTGCAGGATTTGAGCAACAACTTTATCTTCCCCTGAGCACGTTCATTCTCCTTCTTCAGCTGATCTACGTATTTCAGGTGGTCTGTCTACAAAACCAAGTAATTCCATTTAAAACCTTGAATCTCCTTTTACAAGGCATAAGGAGAAGCAACTATGAAATACAGTAAAGAACCACAGTGTAAACTGAACATCTGAAGATGCACCAACCCACACACACTCAGCTTCCCACGCCTCCCTGGCACATGTGGTTTTGTCACTCCCTCCTTAATGTCACGGGTCAGTCGTGGCTCCTAAGATAACGTCCACGGCTCCTAGGCTCATGACAGTGCCAAATGGTGGTGAGCACAAGCCTGAGCCTGACACAAGACTGGGATTATTTTTGTTCAAAAGCTGAAGAGTTCGGTACGCTCAGAAGGTCTTACAAAAACCATCGACCAGAGCACGCATACCAAATTAGCAGCCCACAACCCACAAAGACCCTGCGACAGGAAAACTTACTTTGCTGCTCTTTATTTCCTCCGACAGCACATTTAATTCTGCAGCGAGCCTGTTTTTCTCTCCACTAAATTCTTCTTTCAGCTCTGTGGTTTTCTCTACCATATTCTGCATTTCCCCCTGTAGCTCGGCCTCCTTCACAATCATGGTGTTTACCTGTAATTTAAAACTCATTAGCATCTGCTTTGGGGGGGGGGGTTCCATTTCAATCACATTAGCCACTCGGATCCAAACTTTCCTGACATTGACTTTGGCCTCCAGTAACAAAACAGACGCTGGCTCATCTGCCCTTGACTAATCCACTGGACCAGTACCCTCAAAACCTACTGGTAAGCGTCCCCTTCTATTTTCAGCAAAGATTTAATGAAGGACAGAAATAAGAATAAACAATAACAAGGACTGGGGAAAGGAAAGAAGGGAAAGGAAAAATGCTGAGAAATGGAAAAATGGAAATAAAGTCTTTGTAAATAGGGAAGGGTGGAGGGGTGAAGGGAGGGCTAGGAATGGGGAAAAAATAAGAACGAAGATGCATCATGTAAAGGTACAAGTTCCCAATGAGAAATGTAAATGTCTCGTATACCTAAAATGAACCAATAAAAGAATTTAATAAAGTGCAAAAAAAAAAAATCAATAACAAGCACAGGTAATATTTTCCTTTTTTTTTTGGTACCAGGGATCAAACTTGGGTCCTTGCCCTTTCGAGGCAGGCGGTGGAACCACTGAGCTAAATCCCTGGCCCTAGGACAGATAATATTACTAAGTCTTAAACACCTTCGCAAAGATTTTTTTGAGTTAAATACCAGAGAATAATTTATGAGGCGGTGGGGCTTTCGATTTTTATTAATTCTTGGAGCTCTACTAATCCCTCAGGTCCTGCTCATCTGCAAGAATTAGGGTATGATTACTGCAAACTGGCGAAGGTTCCATGGCTCCTACTGCCCCCTGCAGTTGGATCCATCAGGTACAGTTTGTCTCACTGTCTCTGTTAACTGCCACCTCTTGCAAGGTATACAAAAACCGGAAATTCTTAGAAATTAGAGTCAGGATGAGTTGTCCTTACTGGATACCCCTGTTTTATTATTTGTTCAGTAAAGATTTAAGTGGAAAGGAATCACTTTCCCAGATCAGTCAGTGAATACATTGGACCGATTGAGCCTCTTGATGGCAGATCTCCCCTGTAATCATCAGCGAATAAAAGAGCAGAGCAAAGAAAGACGTGGCATTAGAGAGGGCTCAAGGCACAAGACCCCCACTCACACCCCAGGAACCATGTGTGCTGTCGGTTACACTGTACCAGTATCTTTAAAAGCAATTTTTCTAAAAGGTGAAAAAGTAAGGCAGGGGATCCCTTCCAATCCTAAGAAGCATGGCTACAGTCTCTAACAGTGGTTCTCAACTGGGTCCAGGGAGGCTACCCCAATGCAAAAGAGGGATAAGAGTCAAGAACCATGCACAGCACCAAGCATCCCCAGGTGGGAGTGCCACGTTAAAAACCTGACCCAGCTCATGAAGATGTCCCCTCTGAAGGTGTCTGAGCACTCACTACTACCGGGGATGATTCAGCATTCCCAAAACTCAAGACCCCACAAACATAATGCCTTTCCAGAGTTCGGTCCAACTGGGAAGACACCATCTTGGAGAAATTTTAATTCACAAAGTGCCCCCCAACTCATGACTACATGATTCAATGTAAATAGATAAAAGGCCACTCACTTTTTCAACCAAGGACATGTTTTCTACTTTTGTCAATGTGAGCTCACTCTCCAGCTCTCGGCAAGAATTCTGCAGCCCTTCCAAGGACTCCTGCAAGGTGTGGTTTTTGGATTGCAGCTCTCGGGCCTTCTGCTCCAATTCCACGGCTAGAGTCCCCATTTCCGCTTTCTGCTTCTGCCAGAGCTGTCGTTCTCCTTCTACCTGGGACAGCTGAGAGGCAAGCTGCTCCTGATCTTGAACTTGACCTTTCAGCTGACTGAGTTCCTCATCCTTCCTCTCTAGTTCCTGCTTGCCATCTTCTACTTCCTGCATGAGGCCATTCACAGAAGACTGCAAAATAATGTAATTATTTTTGGCTCCCTCGAGGTCCTGTAGCAACTGAGCCTTCTCCAGTTCAAGAGAATCCACCTGACTGCTCAGACTCTGTTCTTTCCTCTTACAGGCCGCTTGGTCGTTGCACAAGGTTATCATCTTCTCATCCAACACTTTTAATTGTGCTTGAAGCATCTCCACTGCAACTTCAGATTCCTCTTTTATCTGAACGTTTTGGTGCTCTTTTTCTTGCAATAGGTTTTCCAACGAAGAGTTTAATATTTCTAATTCAGACACACGTGCTTGCTCTTCTTGTAGTCCTTTGGTCAGATTTTCTTTTTCTGACTTTGTATTAACAAGATCGACTTCCAAGTCTCTCAGGTTTTGGGCTATCTGCTGGATTTCTGCTTTCAGGGTCTCCACCTCAGCTCTGGAATCCTTGGCCTCACGAACTGCATGCTCTTGGCTTCTCCCTGACAGCTCCAGCTCCCTTTCAAGGCTCTCAACACTTCCTTTCAGCAAATCCGCATGGCACTCGCTTTCCTTCAGTTGTTGTAAGACATGGAGCTGCTTCTCACGATCAGCTTCCACACGGGCTCTGAGCCTCCCGATGCTGCCCCGCAGCCGAGGCACTTCATTCCCCGGGGCGTCCAGGTTCTGTTCCTCAGCCCTCGGGGGCTCTTGGTCCTGACACAAGGCTGCAACCTCCTCAGTCAGCTCTCTCAATTGTGCTTGGATCATCTCCACCGCAGTTTTGGATTCTTCTTGCATCTGTGCCCTTGCTTGCTCCTTTTCTTCTAGAAGACTCTTAAGTGAAGAGAGAAGCCCATCTAATTCGGACACTTGGCCCTGTTTCTCCTGCAGCTGCTTTGTCAGATCCCCCTTTTCTGATCTGAGCACAGCAAGATCTACTTGGGAACCTCGCAGGCTTTCAGCCAGCTCGTCTAACTGTGCTCTTAGGGTCTCCATCTCGGCTTTGGCATTCTCGGCGTCCAGGACCACCAACTCTTGGTTCTCCTCAGACATCTGCAGCTCCCGCTGGAGACCCTCCACCTTATCCCGGAGCACATCGTTGTCTCGCTCACTTCCTTTCAGTTTTCCCAGGACGTGGAGCTGCTTCTTCTCATCGGCCTCAATGCGCACACGCAGTTTCTCCATGCCTTTCCTCAGCTGGTGGACCTCCTCCTGGGTGGAGCCGAGTCGCTCTGCAAACTCATCCCTCTCCATCAGTGCGGCCTCCAGGGCCCTGGACACGGTCAGCCTTTCCTGGTCCAACTCACTCAGTTTGGCCTGCAGGCTCTCAGACTCCCTGGCCAGCGATTCCTTCTCCTTATCCAGTCGTCTGACTTGGCTTTCCAGTTCCTGAGCTGCAGAGGACAGTGTCTGGGAGTCCCCTTCCAACCTCCGCAGCTGCTCCTGCAGGTTCCTTTTGTTTTCTGACAGCTCGCTCACCTGCAAGGACAGCGTCTGAAGGGCAGCTGCTCTGTCCCTGACCTCAGCCTCCAGCGCCTGGACTTTCTCCTTCATCACCTCAGACATCTGGGCCAGGGTTTTGTTTTCTTTTGTCACGGCGTCTAATTCTCCATGAAGCCGGTTTCTCTCGCTTGTGGCCACAGAGAGTTCTTCTTCAAGGTGGATGATAACTTTCTGACTGTTTCCATTATCTTTTTCCAAACATAGCTTCTCAGTTTGAGCCACCTCTAAGTCGGCTTCCATGGTGAGGGCGCGATGTTCAATTCTAGCGTTCTCAGCCTTCATCCTGTTCAGCTCATTCTCCACATCGAGAAATCTCTCCTTCCAGTTGTCATCCTCCTTGGCAATGTTCTCTTTAAGAACTTCCTGTGAGGAGTCATCAGTGCCCATTTCTAAATTAGAACGAAGGGAAGTTTCTACTCTCAGGCCTAACTCCTGGTCACCACAAGAAAAGGATTCCGATTTTACACTTAAATTACATTTTTCTTTCTGAAGTTCCTCCACTATTTTTTCCAATTGTAAGCATGTTTCAATCTTGGTCTTTAGTTGTAGTTCCTGTAAATCAAGTTTTGAGTCTAACTCTTTTATTTCATTCAGCAAATTTTCAACTTTTCTGTCACGGTCCTCTATGGCGTGAAGTAATCTCAAATTCTCATTCAATGCCTCTTTCACCTGCAGCTGGAGAGTCTGGACAGACACTTGATTCTCCACAAACTCCACGGGTGACAAAGCACAAGACCCACCAGTCGACAGTTCATAAGTGTGTTCGGGACAGCCCTGGCTTTGGTCTCCCACTGCTGTCTCATAGTTGGTTTCCGAGGGCACTTCCCTGGCTCCCCGTGGAACAAGTGGGCTCCCAGTGGTTTCTTCAGACTCTACACTGAGGCACTCCTGGACAACCTCTTCACAAATCTGATGACTGTCCTGCTTTGGTGTTTTTTCTGTAATTTCTGAAGTATATTCTTCTGATTCTTTTATGTCACAGCTGCCATTTTGGTGGTTCTGAATAGCCTGTAATCATAACAAAGAACAAGAATGCATGTTAGTATTCAAGAAGAAAAGGCCTTATTATTACTTTATAGAAAATGGCATCCAGCCTCTGCTGAGCACATGTCCCCAAATGGCACATCCTCACCCAAACCTTCCATCCTTCTCTCTCTGTCCTAATTGTGACTCAAAACAGGTAAACATTCAGTAGATCCCACCTATGTGCAAGTCCCTGGGCAAGTTATTTATCAGGTAGACAAACCCTTTCATTCTTGGATCAACTAAATTTTAACACAGCAAAGGCTTACCTTTTCTTTCTTGCTAGGAATAGTCTACACACTTTAAACGTATCTTTTTGTGATGATCAAATATAGGACTAACAAATTTCATATGAAATGCCCAGCTTTCATCCTCAGTATTTATGATATTCTTAGTAACAGAAGGCGGTGAAGGTTCATGACCAGATACCTGGCCTAAGGGATTCAACCTCCCCCTCCACCTGCCTGTCCAGCATCTACTCTGCTTATTCTTGGATAAACTGCACGTAGGCTTCTCATTTCCCTCTCATCTATGAAAGGAAGGCTGCTACTGTGACTATTCCTGTGCTTCCACCCGGACCTGTTTCTCCACCTCACAAAGGCAGACAGCGACACTCATACACTGTGCACCGTTATTAGGGAAGCTGGCCAATAGGAAGGACAAAGTCACAATGTCTCTGTGATGAAATAGGAATACACTCAAGAAAGACAGAAATGCCTTTTTTTCTTGGTACCAGGGATCAAACGCGGGACCTTGCGCTTGAGAGGCAGGTGGCAGAACCACTGAGCTAAATCCCCGGCCCAGAAATGCCTTTTTAAATGACTGATACCAAGTCACCAATTTGTACCATAGAGCAAATTGTTAGGGAAAATTAAGTAACATGTAAAGTTCTTCTATTTCATTTGTGAGTATAATGCTTTAACATTAAAAAAATAGTCTAGGGCTGGGGATTTAGCTCCGTGGTTCCAACACCTACCTCGCCAGTGCCAAGGTCCCAAGTTCAACCCCCGGTACCAGACAAAAAAAAAAAAAGTCTGAAAAAGACCTACGGTTAAAAGTCTGTCATACTACCACTCAGAAATTCTTAATGTCTAAGTCTTATTAACCCACAGTGAAAGCACACACACTGGTGACTCTGTAATATCCTTTTCTCCAGACCTATGTAATTTTTCATACACGAGTGTTTAAATCTAATCACTATAAAAATTTATTCCTCAAATAAGGTTCCCTCATGTTTCAAGAGTTCTGGTTAGTTTTGAAAAAAAAAACTCTAATTTTTTTTTATTTCCTTGAACCCTAAAAACATTCTTAGATCTTGGGTTGATTTCAATTCTACAAACATCTACGGAAGGCCAACTGGTCACCCAAACAGAGAAAAGCAGGCAAACGCGGGGTCTTACGTCGTCAATGTCGGCACCAAGCCAGGACTGAGAAGTTAGCTCCAGTCCCTGAAGCTGCAGCCGGGCCACCTCCAGCTCAAGGGACAGGTGTTCCGTCTGCTGCTTCTCTGCCGCCAGCTTGGACTCCATCTCCAGCGTCACACTTGTCAGCTTCTGCTGCCACTGCTCATTTTGGGACAAGTACTGCTTCCTAAGGCGGTCCAGCTCTGTCCTTTCAGAACTTAATAACTGCCTCAGCTCTTGAATTTCTTTATCTTTCATCATCGCTTGACTTTCCATTTTCTCTTGCAGATTCTTCAGGGACTGCAGGTACCCCTGGCAGAGGGTCTTGAGTTCTTCTACGCTCCTCTCCAAGGTGGCTGGGGCTTCCTTCATGGTCAGAGTCTCCTCCTCCAGGCTGGCATTTGCTGAAACACTCTCCCCTAAATTACTCAAAAAAGACGTGTCACCAGTCTGTTCTAAAACATCTTTGTGAAAAGAGTACTCTCCAAAACTTGTCTCACTAGGGCTGTTGGTCACACAAGAGGACAGTGACAGAATACGTTCCTCTGGCTTCATCCCTTTTGCCAAGTCACCTTGCAGGTTTCTCAAATTCACTGACAAGGCTGAATTTTCAGCCTTCAGTGTGTCAACATAGGACCGTAGCTCTGACATCTTGGAGCTCATCTGACAGCGCTGATCATGTAAAATCTTATGCTCGCTTTGTAAAGATGAGAATTTCTCCTGTAGTTCGGCAAAGTGCGTTTGAACCTCTTTATTTGACAAGGTCAGCTGCTCATAGGAATTGCTATCATCTAAAGGGTTCAAGGACACAGGTGTCTGCTCATTTTGCTGTCTATCAAATTCACTGGCCAGCATCTCTCCCACAGGCTCAGCTTGGGGAAGGCTGTTTTCATCGTTCAACATTTTCATTTCATTCACTAGCTTCTCTACCTCTTCTGCCATTCTACTGGTTGCTGTGATACACTCTGCCCTTGAGTCCTTTAGCTCTGACACCAGCTGCAGCTTTTCCACCTGCAGCATCTCACACATCTTCTCCAGCTCATGCAGCTTGCTCAAGGCTGCCTGGAGAGAACACTGCGAGTGTGCACTGTCACCCTGCCTTGGGGACAGCTCACAAAGCACTGCACTGTACTTTCCTTCCGCATCCACTTCACAGTTCATAAGGCCACTCATTTCCTGTGACGAGCAGTCTTGGACGTTTCCAGCTCCTAATTCTCCTCTAAGTGTCTGCAACTCCTGCTGCAGGCACTCTTTATCCTTCTCGCTTTCCTGAAGTTTTAATTCCGTATTTCTTATCAAAGCTTCTAATTGTACCATCTGTGCATTATAATTGTTAGGAGCGATGTCTCTGACCCCAAGATCCATCTGAAGTTGGAAATTACATGTATTTATCTCATTCTCTCTTTCGGTCACAGGGTCCCTAAGTGGCTCCAATTTGAGATGCTGACCTTCATGTATGGTCTTGGTTAACTTCGTCAGTTGCTCATTCTCTTGTAATAAGTCATTAACTTCCTTTTGCATCTTATTTTGTTCTTCCTTTAAAGTCATGGTTTCTTGCCTTAAGCCATCAGCCTCACTCTTGGAACTGGAGTGAAGGTCCCTAATCTCAGACTTCAAAGCTTGCTGTACCACCTCAAACTCTAGTATTAGCTTCTGGTTTTGTTCTTCAGCAAAGGTCAATTTTGTTAAGAATTCTTGGTGTTCTTTTGCAAATGTTTCCTTTAGCTGCTCCAGTTCATTTTTCCTGCTTTCACAAACACTGTTGCATTCGTTTAGCAAGCATTCTAACCTCAAATTCTTTTCTTGTGCTGCTTTGTATTTTTCACTGAGATCCTCAAATGCACTTCTGGTCTCCTCACACCTCTGTAGTAAAATGAGTTTTTCTTGCTTGTACTGATCAGACAACTCTGAAATGCTTTTCTCTTGTTCCTCTATACAGTTTGAAAATTTCTCATTTTTTTGCACTAAGTTCATTTTCTCTTGGTTTAAGATTTCATTTATCTCTTTGAGAGTCCCGTTCTCTTGGGTTAGCTCTTCAATTTCTTTTTTACTTAGAGAAATAACGGAACTCATTTCCTTTTTTTCTGAGCCCAGGGTTTCAGATAAAAGCTGTAGCTCCTTTCGAGAGTCTTCCAGGAGCTGGTTGCTCTTTTTTAATTCTTCAATCTCTACTTGCTCAGATTCTAATCTTGCTTTCCAAAGTTGTAACTCTTTTTCCTTGTGTTCAAGGGCAACTAAACTTTCAGCAACAACATTCTGATGAACAGAAGTGTCTTCCTGTAACTTGCAAATCCGCTGACTTGTCTCGGCCACAAAGCTTTCATGCATCTGTTCTGCTTTAATGAGATTTTCTTCTATTTCCCCTTTGATATGAACCAACTCTTCACACTGCTTCTGCAGATTGGAGTTCATCTGCTTTTGAGATTCTAAGGAAAATCCAAGCGAAACGACTCTATTGTGTAGTATGGCTGAACTTTTTGGACTTTGGTCTGCATCTAAAAGACACTGGCTCCTTCCTGAAGAACTGCTTCCCTGTTCTCCCATTGCATTTACAAAGGAAGTACTCATTGCTGACTGCTGTTCAAAAGCCAGACAACTTCTCTGATGGTCCCCCTGTGACAGTGAAGAGTCTTTGGATTTGAGCAGATCCCTGAGGTTCTCATATTCAGCCTGCAAGTCTTGGTAAAGCTGGGCCTTGTCCATTAGCTCCCTCGATAGTAACTGAAGCTTCTGTTCTAGGTCTTCAACTTGCCCAGTAAGCTGAGAAGTCTGCAGGCACAGATTTTCTATTTCCTTCTTATGCTTCTGATCTGAGAGCTCAGCTTTCTGCTGCAGCTCCTCATAAGCCTGTTTCTGCATCTCTGCCTCCCTCGTCTTGCTATCGACCATACTGCACAGGTTTCTCATCTCCACACTGAGGTTGTCTCTTTCCAGCTCCAGTGTTCTTATTCTCTCATTATATTCGTGGCTTTTTATTTGTTGTGTCTTGAGGCATGTTTCCAAGTGGTTGATTTTACTCTGCAAGCTCTCCTTTTCTGCTTCCATCTGATATAAAAGTTTTTCATTTTCACTTTTCCAATGAGAAAACTGAGTTTTCTCTTCATTCAGTTCTTCATATTCTTTCTTTGTTAACTCCAAGGCACTCAGTAAAGTTTTAGACTCTTTCTCTATCTTGCTTAACTTCTCGTTCAATTGCTCGATGTGATGTTCCCTCTTCCTCAAAAGGTCTTGGGAACAATCTCGCTGCTTTTCTAGATCAGCCAGGGCGAGTTTCAGCTTCTCTAAAGTCAAGGAGTTTTCTTGCTGATTTATTTTTTCTTGAAGATCTCTTAACATGGTTTCCTGAGAGGTATTCTTAGCTATTAAAAAAAGATTGAAAAAAAAAACAAAACCACCTGTCAATGTCTTTAATAAATATGTATTCTGGGCCGCAAATTTAGCTCAGTGGTGCCGCCGCTCGCCTCACAAATGCAAGGTCCTGAGTTCAGTACCCAGTACCAAAAAGAATATATGTATTCTATCAGACTCCTGAACTCTAGGGCTGGGAGACAGCTGGTAGAGCACTCACCTAGCACTCAGAAGGTCCTGGGTTCGATCCCCAGCACTGCAACAACACCATTAAAAAACTATAAACACTTTTTAAAAATCCATACAAATTAATATATCTGTATTTTTTCCATCTTTTGAAATATTTATTGAAAGAGAGAAAACAGAAAATCTCCCAGTTCACTCTGAGGCAATTCTGATGTCTGTGAAAAATAAACAGCTACTCTACCATTTCAGCCAAAAGTCCATGATGCTATATATCTCTCACGGCCTATATGGGATTATTCTTGAGGGATAATTTCACCCACATTTCAGTTCCTCCAAGTAAAGGTGGTGAGGGAATTAGAATCATCTGGAAACTTCCATGACCACCGTACTTTCTACCCAGTGATTCGCCTCTACCCACAGCCCTTTCCAGCTGGGAATAACCACAGTGTTTCTCTGACAAGGCTTCGTAAGGTTTCGGTGACAATAAGGCTTCAGATTTACATTCACTGGTTATAATCATATCTAGCATATTGGGGGAGACGGAGAATTGAGGCTCTCAATGGGAGATGATAAAGGTGGCATGTATTACAATCTCAGGTTCGATACTAAATGAAAAGCCACACATATTTCTAGCCCTCTAATCTTAAACCGAACCCTGAGAGTTGACAGCTTTGGGATAGTCCCTGAGCGCTTCTATCTACCTTGCTCGGGAGGACCTCCATCAATGACATTGGTGGCCAACACTGAAATTGTGTGGGAGACATTTACTTTTCTGGTTTCAAAGTGATTTTAAAAACCGGGTATTTTGGAACTCATTATGTTCTGAATTTTAAAAGTTCAACTATCACACTAGAACTAAAAAGTAGGAGACAGAAAACTTTCTCCCCATGTCTGGAGGCATCTTTTGGGGAAATATATGGAAAAGCTCAAGAGGTTCCGCCACTAGGCCAAGGCCACTCCCTCCCTCACCAGGTCACAGCTGAGAATCTGACAACTCCGAGTTCACTCACCTCTCATTTCTTCCAAAAAGTTCTGACTCTGACTCAAACACGCCTGGACTTTCCGGAGCTCCTCCTCCAGATGGCTGACTTCTCTGGCCCTTTGTTCAGACTGAGTCCTAAGGAAGCCATTTTCCTTCTTCGTTTCCTAAAACACACGTGTGCAGGTTATAACCAACAAGATGCTGACACATTCGACCTCTGTCCCTGACGGAAGTGTCTGGGTATCTCACTAAGAATCACATTTCCCCTTCTTTTACTTAACAACAGCAGACATTCTTACTTGACTCAAAAGCCATGAATAAAAATCAAAACAGAAACATAAAACCCAAATCAAACAATGTTCTTTTCAAGATATGTATTTCTTTGAACTTTTTAGCTGTGCATGTGCCTCTCACAGAGTTAGCTCAAAAGGACGAGCCTATTTACAAAGTCCTCAAGATAAAAGCCCCAAGTTCTGCTGGACATGCTGGCGCATGCCTGTAATCCCAACACTCAAGTTGCTGAGACAAGAGGATCGCTCTACATTCAAAGCCAGCCTGGGCTACAGAGTGAGTTCAAGAGCACCCTCAACTACACAGGGAGACCCAGTCTCAGAACACCAGAAACAAAGCAAGAAAAGCACTCCAAGTTCTTAGTGTACCTGACCCATCAAATAGGTCTTTGTAAAGAGCAGATGTGTTAATAAATCAAAATATTCATATGGTAAATTTCACTTTTATTTGCAAAACCATCTTAAGGTTCACTGTGACAGGAATGTATTTATGAGTAAAATTACCTTCAATAAATGTTTTCATTAAGAAAATCTACAGTGTTCAGAATATAAATATAAGTAGGAAAGAATCTCTGGCTTCAGGGCAAGTACCCTCCAGAGAGACAGAAGACGTGTAATCAATCACTGAATGAATACACACCAAGCTCTCAGCACTAGAGACACTGAGTGTACTATGAGAAATTAAAGGCTGGAGCACAGAGCACTAATTAATTCTGATGGGAGAGTCTGAGCTTTCACAGTGAAAATGGGTTCCTTGGGTACCCGATTAAATAAGTATCCGGGCATCAATGTGAAATGAAATAGCAAAGATGCATTTATGCGATCCCATTCTATTATCTCAGGGGACTTCTAACCTTAAAATCCAGCAACATTTACATGCCAAATAAAAACACGACTCATCTAACAAACATGCCAAATATTCTACTCTGCTTTCGATGATTTTTATAGCTGATAAGTATTTCAAAGCATATGATACACCACCCTCAGCATCCAGGGCATTAGCATAGATCTCTACAAACCAACATGACCAAGAGTCTCTCGTCCTTTAGGGGGAAAAATACCATGAGGCTTTTTTTTTTTTTAACTGCATTTCAAAAACACAGAAAACAGCCCTCTGAGAAGTAGGACAGTATTTTTGAATCTTAAAGAAACAATTAAGACCTGTCCTCCAAAACCCTGCTGCACCATTAGGAAACAGATGGCCCGGCACTGCTGTGTTGGAAGACTGCCCACACTCATCTGCCTGGTTACTACCAGCAGATGGGGACCGAGGCAGCAAAGCCAAAGGCAAGAAGTGGGAGAAGCTGGCTAGGACAGAGTCCTCAGGAACCTGCTGGCAGTGGCTCTGCTCAGGCACACACATTCATTTCAGCATGAAAATGAGACAGAACCTGTCGTCGGTATGCTACTCCTGTCCGCTGTGTCCCCGTCCTGCCTTCCTTCCACTTCGAAACTGATGAAGATATCAATCAGCTCATGGTGAGAGGCCAATGCCCACGCCAATTTACATCAAACTGTGCAAAGAACGATGATGACGGCAAAACCGCTATGGACTTAGGTCAGCACCATTAGACTAAGGAAGACATCCTCACTGGTTTGTTCCTTGGGCACAGAATAATCACCCATCCAATGAGATCCCAGGTATGCAAGACAGAGCACCTCAAAGCACCGAGCCAAGGGCAAGAGTGACATTATTGGTGTTTCTTCCCCAAATTCAACAGTTGCAAGATCCTGATCAATACTGAACAAGGCCAAGGCAAAAGACTATCTAAGTGCCTGGGGTGGCTTAGGTTTTTCACCCTACCATTTAGAAAATCTTCTCACTCTACACCGGGCGTGGTGGCTTACACCTGCCATCCCAGCACTTGGGGGGCTGAAGCAGGAGGATGGCAGGGACCTCAAAACCAGCAGGGGCTACACAGAGAACTCAAGGGCAGCCTGAAATGCATAACGAGACCCAGTCTCCAAAAGCCAGAAAAAAAGATCTCAACTGAAACAATTAATCTATTCAAACGACATCTACCGCTGCGGGGATGGAAAAGGAGGATGGGGAGATGCTGCGCGAAAAACTAGGTGTCTCCCAATAGGAAAGAGAAGAGGTAGAAGACAGAGGGTACCGGGAAGGCAGGGGGATTGATGTTTACATGTCTGCTATCTCTGTCCATCTCAGTCCATAAGGGGAGACGCTGAAATGAAGAGTGAGCCGGATGGGAAGATTAGCCTGTCGGGTCTCTTTTTCTGTTCTGGCATTAGCTCCATAAATATTTGTTTCCAACAAAGAAACATTCAGCCAATCCTGGGACCCAGCAGGCTCATAATGCTACGCTTACAACCAACCCAAGAATTTTTAGTGGCCAGAATTTAGAAAATGAACATCTGAAAATGGGTGTGCATGCTGCCATCCATCAGCAATTAGTTTTCCACGAGTCTATAGCCACTTAAGACCTGATTGGGTATCTCATTACCAATAACGAGTTAAACATGCAAGGATGTTTCCTCCTGGACATCTCTTCCATCCTCCCATGATTTGCAAAATTGGGCACAACTCTGGAAAAAAACACAACAAATTCCTCCAACTGCCAGCCAGTATGAGAGCTTAGCACGAAATTCCACCCAGATTGACCTCGGTTTAGGGGCAGCAAGGGAAGCATCACTTCCCAGGGCCAGACAAAACAAATTTCAGCTAGTGCTCACTGCTTCATGGTTCCACCCTCGAGAACAGCTCAATGCATCCCCTGGAGAAGTGAAGGCCACATGTGTGGCAGAGCGGTGGATGCACAAGACATGCTTCTCCCTTCCACCGTATCACTGCTGCCTGCCAGACCTGCTCCTTGGAGGACCTCATCCAATCCTGATCCCTATGCTTGGGAAGGTCCCCGAGTGAGTGTTCCCTCATCTTGCTTGTCAAATGGGGGCACTTTACTGCCAATCCCCAAGATGACACAGGCCAGTGCTGGATGCTGCTGAACACCCTCTGCACCCTCCGCTCACTTCCATACTAAATGCCAACTTTACCCGTGATTGGGCCACGAGATCACATTTCCCAGTGCTAATGATGTCTCACTGTGAGCAGCGGATTAGTCTACTAAACATGGACAAGGAAAATTTCAGGAAAACTGTCGCATTATTTCGGCCTCCAAAACCTACAAGCCTGTTAAACTTGCTTGTACTTAACTTATAATTACACGTGGGGAGACACCCAGAGTGGCAGTATAACGGAAAAGGCAAATTTTTCAATATGGAAAATCCCCAATGCACTGTCCTCTACCCATGACCTCCTGTGCCTGGAGGTGACAGAAAACAATACTAACATCGGAAGGTCACAACAGGTGTGAAGACCAAAGCAATGACCAGGTGGACTGCAATAACAAGACTGAGCACCGGGCCTCACACTTGATATACAATATTGAACTTGATCATGAATTCGGCCTTAATAAGTGGAGGTATTATTTATTTGTCCCTGTAGGCAGACTCAGAAAGGGTAAGTCATTGTCTCAGGGTCACAGAGCAGCCAGGTGGCAGGAAAGCAATCTGTATTCAAGTCTCATTCCTTCTAACTCCGTTACTTGTGTCCCCGAGTTCTAATGAGCACGCTTACCATAAGTCACTTATCTGGTCCCAGCACCCCTGTAAGCTCGGGAGCCAGCTGAACCCTTCTAATTCTTGTTATCATCCTCAAATGAGGATGCACATTAAACACTAGTTAAGATGGCAAGTGCTAACTTCATGGGCAGACCCCGTGCAAGTGCTTATCCACCTGTGCTGCCCTCACGTGACACGTAAGTTGTGGGCTACAAGTGAAACTGGGTAGGCATGAGGCTCAGGACTGACTGGGGCCACAGGAAGCAGCTCTGCAGTAGACAGGCCACGCCCGTGGGGGACAAGCACGTCCCCACAGACACCAAGAGCAGCGTCCAGTCCCCCGTGCCAGCTTGGCCCTGCATGCGCCCGCCCCCCAGATGACTGCTTTTACAAAATGTTTCCACCAGGCGGCCAGCAGCATCATGGGAGAGCTGTGGGCTGAAAGGGAAGCCCACAGAGGGAAGGGCTCCATGCCAGTCTGCCCCTGGCAGTGTTAGCAGAAGCATCCCCACTGGGCAAAAGGCAAACATTTGTTTTGCAGCAACAAACACTTCCATTTGAAAACGGTCGGCCAAAACCATCCAGGTGTGTGAAGCTTCTTCCCTTTGGGTCCTGGGAGGGCAGAGCCCCAGCCTCCTCCGTGCCCTCTCTGCAGCTTCACGGTGCCCTTGGCTGTGACCGGAGGCCTGGGTTTCACTGCTGTGCCCCTTTCTGCAAAGCGCCAGGGATTGAAAGTACTGAGACCCTCCTCGCACAGCTGAGCACTTCGACTTTCATCTTCGCTGTCTAAAAAGTGATCGCTGAACACTGAGAACAAGCGAGGAAACATTCTCTCCTGTGACATCCGAGGGAGAAGGAAGGAACTCCACAGCTCTCCTGTGATTCCCCTTCCTGTCGTGACCGAGGTGGTTCATGGCTCTCTTCAGATTGCTCCAGTCGATTAACTGCTCCTCACTGACTCCTAATTAATCCTCTGAAAATCCACTCCAGGCCACTACATAGATGCAGAGAAGCCCGAGTGAAGAATGCGCGATCACTTCCTGTCAGTAGGAACCACGAGCTCCACGTCACACCCGTAGCCCTCAGTAAACGTCACCCACAGGCTGTGACGCAAGGAAGCGCGACTCTCCAGAGACATCGGCGCCTGCGCTGACAGACGCCAAAGATGGAGATCGGGACAGCCAGAGCAGTGCAACTCACAATGGCTTGATTTTTAAAAGAACTTTAAATCTAGAAATCCATCATCTAGCATTACTTTTGTTTATTTAAATCCATGACCTCCTACATGTTTTTAATATTGCACAGCTCAAAAGCCAACCCTTAGAAAGGCAGCTTTGTTTTGTTTTGTTTTGAGACAGGGTCTCCCTATGTAGTCCAGACTGGCCTCAAACTCACAGCGATCCTCCTGTGCATTCAGCCTTCTGAGTGCTGGGATTACAGGCGTGCACCACCACGCCTGGCTAGAAAAGCAATTTAAATACTATTTCATATTAATCATTTCATTTCTTTCCACTCAGAAAATCTCTCTTTCTTTCTTTCTTTCATCCTCCCACCTCTCAGATGGTCTAATACAATCTTTAAAAACTTGAGTGTGTGGTTAATACAAGTCATATTTTTCTATAACTGCCACATGCATGCAAGTAATTCCATCAGAATGCAAAATGAAAAAATAAGCATATATTCTATGTCACAGGTGCTATGACAGAACACTCTGTAATCGTTCTGGCAAATAAAAAAGAAAGTGTTACCTAAAATATACCAATAAAATTAATTTAAAAATAAATAAATAAATAAAAGCTTTAAATAGATAAAAAAGAAGGAAGTTTTATACGGTCATGCTAAACTGCTAAGACCCATACAGAAATCCTCCCAGCCTGGCACAGCTGAGAAACCCCGCCCCCCACCCCCTGCTCACCTGGCTGCTCCTCCTCAGGGCCTCCTCCTCCACCTGCCTGTCCTTGGAAGCCTGTTCCATTCTGCTGAACTTTTGCTTCAATTCTTCCAAATTTTTCTCTAACTGTTGTTTTACTGATGTGACCTACAATGGGAGAGGTGAGAGCAAATTTTATTTTTATGTTCTTTCCTTTGTAAATAATCATTTATTTGTAAACCATAACAAGCTCAAGCAATGTAAGAATGGAGGCCATTCTGGCTCAGACCCCATCTACGTCACCATAACCCTCTAAATTAAAGCCCATGATGGGAACCTGGGATGTCACTGGTGGGCAGCACACAGATGAAAGAGGTGAAGCTCGGGAAAGAAGCCACAAAAAGACTGGGGACGAGTCAAGCAAAGAATGAACCACTGCCCCACAAATGCTGTCAATTAAAAGCTGCAGATATTAATATTAGGTCCTTACATGGTACGGACTGACCACGAACTAAACAGACACAAGTCCCTGAGCTCCTGCAAAGAAAGATTTGAGGGACAGGAGATGGTGTCAAAACGAATGCCTGCACTGGGGGGTGTCAGCTGTGTGCACCATGGAGAGAAACTGAGGGAGCTAAGAAAAACAGGAAGGACTTGAGGTTAGGGACACATGCAGAGACGGACCATCAAGGGGACTCTTGAACAGAAAGCTCAAGGTAGCAAAGGACCACATGCTGGGATCCACCAGGCAGGAGCAGCCAGTGAAAGGATCCAGCAGACAAGGCCCAAGCTTGGCATGAGCTTGGTGTAGCCAAGCAAAGGCAAGGAGGCCACACACGAGACAGCAGGGAGAGCAGGAGAGGACCGAGGATGAAACCTAAGACAGACCAGCAGTGACTGCTCAGGAGTGACAAGATCTGACTCACAGCACGGAAAGCCAGGAGGCTGCCACTGTACCCAGGGCAAGACGACATGGCATAGGCAAAGGGCAGCACTGAACGTAGTCAAAAGGCCTCTCGGTCAACAGCAAGTATAAAGACAGACACGGAAGTCAGGCCAGGTCCTGGCAGGGAGCTGGGGACGTAAGGAGGGAGTGAAGGACTTGTGCAGGACTGGGAGGGACTGTGGCTCCTGATACCAGTAATATCTCCAGAGAACATGCACGCCTTACACCTATAATATACTGAGTTGTACACTCGCCCTACATAAATTTTATATTTTAACACAAAAAAGGTTATTTTTAAGTAGACTTTACATCCTTGACACGCAAATACGTCTATACGTATATACACACGGGTGTGTGCTTATACACATACAAACACGTGATGATCAGGTAAAGGCAGAGTCAGCAGTGTCAGTGACCTTCGCAGATGTATGGGAGAAAGAGGAGACCGAGGTTGACATGGGGGTTTCCGCCCACATGAAGAAGAGAAGTGCTATTTACAGCCCTAGGGACACGGGGAGGAGCAGCTATGAAGGCAGCTGGAGCTCCCTGATCACCACAGGAAGGGTGAGATAGGACGCCCGAGTCTGCAGCTCAGGAGGGACCTCCGGGGAATGCAGAAAGTACATCAGCGTCACAGAGGTGACAACGGAAAGCCACAAATCTGGGCGGTGAGACTGCTTTGCAGTGAGTCTTAAGTAGGTAGGACTTCATGTGCATTAACTATTTGGGGCGTAAATGACTTGGGACAGCTCTCCCCGGGCCAGACTCCCAACCACCAGCTGTTGGATTCCTCTGGGGCACTTTGGGATCGGACGTCGTGACTCCTCCTTCTCCGGAGGCTCCATTTCCTCTCCACGACAGTGAGGACAAGAAGGGAGAAGACACTTCTTCCTCCACCGAATCATGACTGAGAGGTGAGATCTCACAAAGTGGATCTCACAGAAGCTGCAAGTAGGGATCTCGGGGCTGCAAGGAGAAGCTGCAAGTAGGGATCTCGGCTCTCAGGGGAGCGGGATGAGGAAGGGTGGCTGGATGACAGCTAAGCCCCAGTCAGAAAGCAGCAGAAATTCCGCTGAGCTACTGCATGCTGGGTGGCTATCAGTAACAACAATGCACTGCACAAAAAAGCTGCAGGGTCTTGCCATGCAGCCCAGGCTGGCCTGGAAAGTGCAACGATCCTCCTGCCTCAGCCTCCCAAGTGTTGGGTTTACAGGGCCACCTCACCCCACCCGGTTTAACTTGATTTAAACATTATACAACATATGCAAGTATGGAACATGACATGAAACTCCTTATGGGTGCAATTTTTATGCTTCTATGTATCGGTTTTTAAAAACACTCTCCTCGCCACTGTGGGAGAGAAGCATGCATGAGGACCAGAAGGGACCCCGAGGAGGGAGCCACCGTCAGCACCTACTTTGTGCAGCTCGGCCTCCAGGCCGCAGAGCGCGTTTTTGGCCTGCTGCAGCTCCTGGGTGAGCCTGGCTTTCATCTGCATGCACTCCTGGTCCAGTGTCTGGAAGGCGCGCTGCTGTCGGGAGAGCTCCTAGAACAGAGGGCAGACGGGTCACCCGGGCGGCAAGCGGAACAGGCACAGCACCCAGCAGGCAGCGCTGTGTCCCCTCGCTGGCGTCTCCCAGTGGCCGATGCAGTCATAGAGCTGGGCTCACTAGTCAAACACGGGGCTCTGCAGTCTGCGGCTGTCCAGGGGGAGCCCGGCCCAGCTTCCTCATCCCCAACCCCACGTTCGGCCCCTCCACAGTCCTGGGTCCCGGCCAGCTGCCATGGAAACCACAGGCACCCAGAACTGGTCCACAGGACAGGTCCCAGCTCCCACTCGAGAGGATGGGAAGTCAAGGCCCTCAGCGAACATGGATCACCACACGGGGACACCAGAGGTCCTGGTCCCGCTGTGCAGGGACTGGACCCTCACCGGACAGGACGCACTCTCAGGCAGAGGCCCTGGGGGCAGCATCCCGCCCGCTCCTGTCCGGCAGGGACAGCTGCCTCTCCTGCTCGACTGCAGCCACAGGCTTTGCGGGCACCTGAGGGCTGATCGCAGCCCCCTCGCTCCAAGGGTGTGAGAAGAAAAGGGAAGCCTGTCCTTCCCGGGACGGAATCGCTAGCACATCAGAGAGCTTGGGAAAGACAAACAAACCCTGAGCACCAATCTCCCTTCTGGCTAAAACCCTAAGCTGGACCAGTGCCACATCCAGGTGTGGGAGAAGAGGCCCCTCCCGCCCCCCAAAGCTCCCCGCCCACATCAGCAGACTCCCCAACACCACAGTTCTCCAGAGCCTGGGGGACCCGCCCCTCGCACCCCACTTCCGGTACCTCCTGGAGCGCCTTTTCTTTCTTCTTGACCCTCTGCTCCAGGGCACATCTGGCACTTTCCGCGTTTTGTCGTTGGCAGTTCAAGTCCTCCGTCAACTTTTTCAGCTTTTGTTCCAGCGCAGTACACTAACAGCAGATAAAAACATTCCACACCAAGCCAAAATTATTCCAGAAAGAGGCACCGTCTGTGTTTCAGAAAAATCTTAGTCCCAAGATGTCGTAAGGTTACTGGTGTTTTGATCTTTCTGTTGCATAAAACATTGCATTTGAAACTGCCAAACATGAAACCACCACATTTATTTCAGAACAAATAAAACTTATCTTTGGGGAAATATTCACAAGGAATAAAGCATTAGCTCATCTAATTAAATACTTCACAATCTGCCATGGAAACTGAGGCAGCTCTGTTGCTGTCACACAGAAAGGGAGGTTCAAAGGCAGTGGTGTCAGCCTAGCAGTGTAGGAGCTGCAGGGCCAGGATGTAGCTCAGTGATGCCTCACCTGCCTGGCAAACACAAGGTCCTGAGTTTGACTCCTGATACCAGAAAACAAATGTAGGAGCTGCAATATAATCAGAGGGTGCCTGTTTCTCTCCTACAATTCTTTCAAGCAAAATGAATTCTGTAGGAAATTTTCAGTGATGAAATGCTTCCTTTTCACTGTACTTTATATTTCTGGAGGTTCCAACTCTCCATGATACACACCCAATCTTTCACCAAGCCACCAGACGCAGCACAAACAGTAATCCATTGCCTTCTTACACGGCCAGTTATCCATTAAGTATTTTTGCAAATGTGAAGTACTTGAAAATGTAGGAAGCTCTTCAAGAATTAGATTGGAACAAAATGGCCTTAATTCTTCAAGTAGCAAAACCCATTCCTATGTAGCATCCATTCCCTTGGGCCCAAATCCATAAAGCTGGTCAATAATAACAGAATGATTTTGCACATATAAGAACTTTTAAACTACAAAGTTTAAACAGTAAGATTTTGAGACAGTGAGTTCAAATCAACCCACTCCCTTGGGCACCTATTAATATACCTTTGTTAGGCCGGGAATTTAGCTTAGTGGTTTTGCTGCCTGCTGCGCTAGTGCAAGGACCTGAGTTCGATCCCCGGTACCAAAAAAAAAAGACCTTTGTTATTGTCCTTGTTGTCCTGGAGTTTTTAAATCTCCAAGGAAAAGTACTATCGAGATTATAACAACAATAAAATATGAATTCAACAGATATCTACTAAGCAATTATTCTGTGTCGCGCATTGTTCTAGATACTGACAATACAGCAGCAAACAACACAGACAAAAGTCATGGCCCAAATAATGGTCCAAAATCATGATGGTTGACAAATCTCAGAGAAAAATATTTTTTAAAGCAACTGCAGCCAACTAGATGAGTATGCCATTGGCGCCCTCTACTGGCACTCCCTCAAACTGCAGCACACTCCACTCACCCATCTCAGAAGCAATAGTCCTTTTCCACTAAACATAGTTTTTAAAAGATCCTTTCTAAAAGTAGTAATATTTTACTTTTTAAAAATTTTAATGACATTCTGATAGCCACGATGCATGGCCCACATAAAAGTAACAGACCACTAGGTGTCACAAAAGCGCCACAATATTCTAAAGTCAAGTATCCAGAGCTCAAGTCCATATGTAATTTGTGACCGTGGACCCTTGCTTAAGTTTCTGGGTCTGAGTTTTTCACCTGTGCAATGTGCTGAACTCCAGGCCTGAAGCCTGTCCAATACGCTTTCTACATGAATTCAAGCGTCCTCCAAACTGGCAGAGACCCGGGAAAGCCCTGCTCTATCAACATCCTGGATCCATTCACAAACACTACTCCTCTGTCTCCACTGTCTGATGCATAACACTAATGGCACTGGCCAGGGAATGGCATCAACACAGCACGAACTGATTTCAGCAAAACATTTGGCAAACTCCTACTGGGGACAAGAAGGAGAAAGGTCAAATGAATTTCCAGTTAAGTAGATGTGTTAGACAAAATCCAGGAAGGACTGAACGAATGAATCTTCAGAACCTGGAGGGACAGCTAATAGAAAGCCATAGCTGTGTTGTCACAATTCTTAATTCACAATCTGAATTTTTTAAAAAATCAGCAACTATGTTAGCTGAACAAAGATTGATTGATCCTGTCTCACCAAAACCAGTAAGGTGAAATGTGACAAGGTAAAATGTCACTCATACACAGAAGTCCTGGCCAGGCAGAAATTCCACTCAAACTTGGCCTATCTGAAGGAATATATTTACTGGATCCCACGAGTGGATGGATTAAAGTCAATCACATATCCTAACCGCCTCTTAAAGCTCCCTCGCACTGAGAACCTGGACTATGTGCGGCACTGCACACGGATCACCTTCATTGCCCCACCCTTGGCCGCATGAGAGGGACCACTCCCTGGGAGCAGTGAAGCCAGCCCTGCCTGACGCTTCTTACTCAGTGGCATCAACACTGCCCAAGATCCTCGCTCACGTTTATTTTATAAACTGAAAGTATAAAACACTCTTTGCAAAGAACTGTATGAAAAGAAGGCGATTTCTTAGCAATTCATGAAAAGTCAAGTACCTGAGTTGCTGCCTGCTCATACTGCGCGGTCGTTCTCGCTAGTTCATCCCTGTTTTTTTTCAAAATTTTGTCTTTTTCAATTAATTCCACTTTTGTTTTCTCCAGCTGGAGTTGCAGCTCTTGAAATCTATGCGCTTGGCTTTCCATTTCTTTCTCTTGTCCTTGCAGACGTAGTTGCAGCTCATTAACCTCGCTTCTCAGCTCTTAAATCACAAATGAAAACCACACTCCAGATCATATAATTTTCTTTTTTTTTTTGGTCCCAGGGATCCAACTCGGGACCTTGTGCTTGTGAGGCAGGCGGCAGCACCACTGAGCTAAATCCCTGGCCCCAGATCATATAATTTTTATAAAGTGTTCAGAATTTACCTTTTATTTTACTCTACTCTGAAATCTTCAGTGAGACAAATCTAAATAATTTACTATAACAAAGAAACTAACTACATTTCAGTGATCTAGTCATTTGTAGCCAAATACTCTTATTGAAAGCAGAGAAATAGGATTCTCTTAGGTTTTCACAGAAAAACCTGGGGAGGAAACGCTTTTCTAAAATCTCAAACAGTTATCTTACAGAGGCTGCAAAAAGTATATCTGATACAGTTATCACTTGTTTTATACTCTGGCAAACTAACCCAATGTGTGATGGAGAAATATTGTGAATGTTTGCTTTTTAAAATTTTATTACAGCAAAAGACACATTGTCATTAATCCCCCCCAAAATACTTCCTCTTGCTCTGAACACATTTATTCCATTATCTTTGGAACTTTCTGAAGCAGTTTTTGAAGTTCTCTTTCATGCCTTTAGTTGCTGCCCAAATGTCCTGAATCGATGCAAAACACTGACCTCTCATGGTCACTTTGACTTTGGGAAAGAGCCAGAGGTCGCACAGTGCCAGATCAGGTGAACAAGGCAGATGAGGACACTATTTCATGAGCTGCCTTTCTGCTGACTGGCTCTTGGCAGCAGCATTCACTGTATTTTTAATCACACCTCATAAAGACACTCAGGAAAGAGAACTTCCAGAACTGCTTCAGAAAGTGGCAGGAACAATGGGATTAATGTGTTTGAAGTTTAGGGGATTAATGGCAATGTGTCTTTTAGTGTGATGGTTTATTTTTAATTTAATCATTCAGCATACAATTCAATCACACTTCCTATTTATCTGTGCCCCTATCAATCCAGATGAGGGGTAGGCAGTGAAAAGTTCACCCTCTGAATTTACTGGTAGTTTTATCGTGAGTAAAGATCAAAAGAGTATGAACCTCCCATCATGCCAAAATTAACAATGATTTTCTTCCACTTTTTTTCCTACATACACACGACATTGGTTCCAATGGCCTAAGCAGGGTGACAGCTCTCACTAGTGAACTCCAATGATGATTTACAATATATCACAGTGCTGGAAACCGCCACAGTCTAGAGCAGATTCCAAAGCCACCTGGTGTGCCTGGCTGTCAGCCGAGGTGTGATGTTTGCTCCCACCTGGACCCGTGGCAGCGGGACACTGGGTACTGCTGCCGTGTCTAACAAAACACGTACGTGAGCTCCAAGATGAACACCCCCCATCAGTGGCTCTGAAATTATCTTGGGAACATTTAATTTAAACTTAATTTAGCTCCAGCAGTTACCTTGATTCTGGCCTTTCAATTGATCCAAAAGAGGAGAACTGCAGGAATTATCATGGCAACTGCTATTAGTGTCTCTTTTCCCTGTTTGCAAAACTGATCTGCTCGGAGTCACCTCTTCCTCTCCAAAAATGTGAGATGCGGAGAAATCCCTCCTACTTGGGGTTTTTTGAGGATGAGATGGAAGTTGATTTGGGGTCCTCTCCTGTTGCCAGGAGAATACAGACGAGGAGGCCTGGTGCCGGGCAATGTCTCGGTGATTCATGGTAGTCGGGGGAACCGCCTGGCTGGCTCTCTGGAAAAACAGAAACCCTTCAGAGCCCTCTGGAGTCTCAACATCCAATGCTATTTATCTTCAAATAAAACATAAAGCCATGACCATGTACCAAGAAAGAACGTTCCTCAAGTCCAGGGAACCACGACATCCCGGTACCCAGCCACGGGATTCAATCCCAAACTGGCTCCCCTTTGCCTGTTCTTGGTCGCCCCCAGCCCCTGGAGCTTTGCACAGAGAATCAAAATTAAATTTTAGCTAAAATACTCGTTCAAGACTCACTTTCTACCACACACATCACCGAAAAATGCCATTTCGCTGACTTCTCTTCCACAATGACTTCTCTCCGCTGCTTCCAAACTGTTCCTCCTCCATTCCTTCTGACCAACAGCAAGGCTTGGCCATAGTAGCTGCACCACGCTCTTTATCATAAGCACTATTCTTGTTGTGGGATGAGGGTGGATGTCGAGGGAGACTCACATTCTCCATTAAAAAACAAAAAAGAGGGCTGGGGATTTAGCTCAGTGGTGCCACCACCTGCCTTGCAAGCACAAGGTCCTGAGTTTGGATCCCCAGTACAAAAAAAAAAAAACCCTGCATTTTAAAAATTTTATTAACATTACATTTCTTCACTCACCTCTCTCTGCTATCAAAATGGAGTGTAAAACTATGGCCAGCGGTTTTTTTTCTTTCTTTTTTTTGAGACCGGGTCTTGCTATGTAGCCCAGGCTGGCCTCAAACTCACGGAGATCCTCCTGCCTCGGCCTCCCAAGTGAACCAGCAGCTTATTTAAAAGAACTGAAGAGACTGTGTTGGTAACATTCTCCTCTGAAACCAACATTTCACAAAAAATGAGGCTCAAGAGCCTCTTCCCTGGCAGTAATCTCATTCCATCAGAAGACTGGACAGCCAAAGCTGCCTCCAGGTGACAAAGTCCTCCTGTGAGCATCTGGAATCACCCTCAGGCTCACTCCTTCCTCATCCTAGGGTCTTACCAGCAAGAGAACTGCACAGCTCTGGTTCCCCTGGAATTCGCGCACAGTCAGTATGTGGAGATAAACTAACCTCCCCACTCTTCTTTTCCTCACTCCCACCCATTTTTAAAACTAAAAAGTGCCAGGCATGGTGACAAGCACCTGTGATCCTAGCACTGGGGAGGCAGAGGCAGGAGGATCCCTGCAAGTTCAAGGCCGGCCTGAATTGTCCTGAGACCCTGTCCCAAAAAGCCAAAAACAAAAAAACTAAAACGTAATCACCCCAGAGAGAGTCAGGAATGTTTTTCGCAGTTTTCAAAACGCGTCTCAGCTCTATGTAAGGAGATTTTTCTGTGCCTTAGTCTCTCCAACAGCAGAGTGCTTCCCTGGCTCTAACTGTGTGTTCTGTTTCAGGGCCCACAGCTAACTCACTTTAGCCTGCAGGACTTTCACTTCCGCTTCCAATCTTCTTCGTTCCTCAACTTCTTTATTGTATTTTTCTCTGAGGTCTTCATACTTGGAACCTAACACAGACAAGGAAATAGGGTTTGATTTCACTCAGTGATTTGGGGAAGCAACTCAGAGATCACCCCTTCCATCAGATTACGCAAATACCGAAATCATGGGGACAGGGGCCGGGGGTGTAGCTCAGTGGTGCTCCCGCCTACCTCACAAGCACAAGGTCCTGAGTTCGATCCCCGGTACCAAAAAAAAAAAAAAAAGAAAGAAATACATGGAAACATAGGCGTTTTGAAGATTCTGAAACCGAGTCTCCTTTAAAACCCACCACAGGAACAGAAAGTGGACTGCTTAATGTTCACCCCAGTAACACGCAAATGAACACACAGCAGGCGGCTGCAGTTTTTTAAATATCCAAATTAAAAGCTGAATTCAAAGTCAAATTCACTCATTTCTTTCACAGAACTTAAATCTCAGTGAAGGAGCTGCTTCCACCCAGGGAAAACAATCTTTACCGCTGTAAGGCTGGCCCGGCGTGGGCGGAGCGGCGAAGATCTGCAGCGAGCTGCAGGCGCAGAGAGAGCAGTCAGCAGGAGGCGCCGCTGGGTGGCTCCTTTCGAGTCCAGATTTACACCTGCGTGAAAAGGACCCGAGTCAGACTGCACTACAGACGGCCACGGAGAACGGGTGCCACGCTTCCCCAGACGACGCGAAAGCTCCATAGAAACCCCCTCCCAGAGCCCTCAGCTATCCCATCTACCCCGCGGACACTTAAAAAACGCCAGTTCTTCACAGGGGCCGAGTCTAGTTAGAGAAATACGACTCTGCACCAGTAATTACGAGGCCATAAAAAGGCTGCATGAAGATTCGCGGTAACCTCGGTAGCAGCTAAGGAGAGAGGGAAAGCCTGAGATGCACTCGGGGCTGGTGTTAGACTCTGCGCCCAAGGAGAACACAGGGATGCCCAAGGGCCCAGAGAAACATGGAGGGAGACGGACGTCAGGGAGTGCCGACATGGCCCGTGATGTTTAACCTTTCAGAAACGGACTTGATGTGCAGATTATGCATTATATGGCATTTTAAAAGCAGATATAAAATTAAATATAATGCATCTAGAAAAGATATGGCCGAAAACAGTTCCAAAGACAAGGGGAAAGTGAGTTACATGGTGTATATATGTTTAGAATATCCGCATCATTGAAGGAAATTCTGAATGCCTTTCAGAACCAAATAACGCATTAAAAGAGGGGTCTGTTCTTTTTTTGTCTGGAGGGGGTGTTTGGTTGGTTGGTTTTTTGGAGACAGGGTCTTGCTGTGCAGCCCAGGCTGGCCTAGAATTTGGGGTGAACTTCTGGCCTCAGCCTGCCAAGTCCTGGGACTTATAGGCCTGCACCACCACACCCAACTAGGGTTCAATTCTTATGTTAAAGAAATGTCAATTCTTCCAAGTCTACTTGTTTGATTTTGCCTAATGAAAGAAATAAATGGAGCACCTCTTAGGAAGAGGTAAAGGGATGCACCACTTTCTTGCCCAGGGCAGATTATTCAAAGCAAGAAGTAAAAGTGAAGGAAGAGCTCAGTTTCCCAGCTTCAAATTCACTCTGGGGAGGAAGAGGCACTGTACAAGCTGAGACTAGGGACAACTCAGGAAATTAAAGCGTCCCATTTAAGTTTACGTGGGTGAAGCACTGCACAAATTAGCATTTTTAAAAGCAACAGAACACGAGTGAAATTAATTTTCACATTTGATTGAACTTGCTGTCTTCAGAGTAAAGCTATCACTTGGACTTGTAATCATGGTGAAAATTATCAATGAGACATTTCACATTTATTTGTACCAAATGTTCAGAATCGGGCATGCACTGGGAAGCTACCGCTCAGCTGTCCCGACGAGCAGCAGCCATGTTTCAAGGGCTGGAGAGGGAGAGAGTCAGGCGTGCCCAGGGCCGCAGTACTGGACAGGGCAGGCCCAGGCCCGCAGCCCTAGCATGGGTGGAAAGGAGACAAGGAAGGTGTGACCTAAGGCTGACCACAGTGACCAGGGATATACCCCAGGCCCCCTTCCCCCAGACCCATCCCAAATTCCTAAGAATCTTAAGACATTCTGAGTCCATCAGTTCCAAAAGTTTCGGCAGAGACTTCCATTTTCAAAAGAAACAGCGCAGGCATGAAACACTTCATGTGATTTGAGGTGTGGACAATTGAGAGGTGAATTCCGAAGGGTCCTGCAAAACCAGTGTTTCTTTTCCCTCTCTGGTTCATACCTTACCTCCTTTTCCCCCGGTCCTTTCAAGTATAAAAGAAAAACATTATCTTAAATGTTAAACAAGGTATAACCTGCTGTCTATTTTCATAAACTTTTTGTTTCTCCTTCCCTGTAGGCAGAATAGTAAAACGTACCACCACCAAAAGAGAACTAAATTAAACTTTTTACTGATTTGAGCCCTACGACACTGCCAAGATTCTGACAAATATTCCACAGGGCTGAACTGGACTCCAGCAGACCTTCCAGAAACCCGATCTCAGCCACTGGGGGTAATAAATTCCTCACTGCCCTTAAAGGTGGCCAGGGGTAACCTGGAAACCGTACTCAAGAGTTTCTTGCAGTTTGTACTTTTTGTACTCTCCAATTTTTATAATCTAGAAATCTATACTCCAGGTTTTATACACATAGCTTGTAACTTTTCATAAACATTCATAACCATATAACTAATAAGACTTTTTTTTTTTTTTGAGACAGCTCTCTGTGCATCCTCTATATCCTCAGTAGCTGGGATAACAGATGCATGACACCATGCCCAGCAATAAGAATTTTCTTTCTGATACCGGGAATTGAACTCAGGGACTTGCACTTGCCAGGCTAATGCTGCACCACTGAGCTACATTCCGGGCCTTTAAGTTTTTTTGTTGTTTTTTTTTTGGTACCGGGGATTGAACTCAGGACCTTCCGCTTGCGAGGCAGGCGGTGGCACCACTGAGCTACATCCCCAGCCCTTAAGAATATTTTTAAATCAAATATGCCACAGGGGTGTCCGAACCTCATAATGATGACAATGAGGACGAATAACAGTGATAGTAATAATACTATATTTAATGGTAATAATATTGATAATAACAATGCTAATATTTAGCAGTTGCTACCTTAGTCTTGAAGTCATGAGGACTTTATATTTGCTGGTATTACTACTAAATGGCATTTTGCAATGAAATATAGAAATATAAAAACCCAGGTGTGGTGGCACACACCTGTAATTCTAGCACTCAGGAGGCTGAGGCAGGAGGATCGTAGTGAGTTTGAGGCCAGCCTGAACTACCTACCAAGGCCCTGGCTCAAAAAAAAATTTTTTTTTTGGTACCAGGGATGAAACTCAGGTCCTTGCGCTTGCACAGCAGGCGGTGAAACCACTGAGCTAAATCCCCGGCCCTCAAAAAATTTTTTAAACTTAAAAAGCAAAAAAGAAATGTATATAAAATGAAATATAGAAACATATACAAAAGCATCTTTCCCTAAAAATATACCAGTTTCTGCCCAAACTAATTAGAACAAGCATTTCTAAAACCAGCACCCAAATGTGCTTTCCAGAGAAACAATCATGCCACATAGTGAGCTGTGCCTCCTACTTCCTAGCACTTGTTTTCCAAAACTAAGATCTATCTTCCCTTCACGCAACAAAAATGTGGGGCGCTGCAGTTGTCGGGTGCTATGGATACAGGATAGGACAGTCAGGCTCCCTGTTCTCACAGTATCTGGGATGGTGGAAAGAACTCAGTGAGACAGAGGTTATCATTCTAACATGCAACCTTCAGACAGCCACCTCCCTCCACAGACAGGACACAAAACTGGAAATCACAGAAAAAGACTGCTGTGAAGGAAAATAATCACTTTCACAGAAAGAGGAATGCACCGTGGAGTACTACTCTGCCCTAAAGAAGGACACACGTGAGTAGTTTATAGGAAAATGGATGCACCTCAAGACCATCATGTTAAGTGAAATAAATCAGACACAGAAGCTGAAATACTGCATGATTTCTCTCACCTGAGAAGCCCAAAGTATAAGTAAAGAGAAAAATAAAAGACAGAAAATAGGAAGTAGGGAGAACTTTTTCAAATGGGAAGGGTAATAAGAGTTGGAGGGAGTAGATAGGGCTAGGAGAAGGGTATGAAAACATTACCTTATGTGCTGCAACATGTACTAATCATTAAATAAATAGTGACTTTTTAAAGGCTTTAACTTTGAAAAATATTTTTGATTTTGTAGGTAGAACTCACATTATTATACCTGTGCCACAAAAAAAGTAAATTTCTTGCTATCAAGATATTTATTAATTTCAAAGAGAAAAACAGCTGCTTTACAGAGGAGGCGTTCAGAGCTTTACCGCGGAGGAAACTGAACTCAGTGACCGAGGCTGCAGGTCATTAAATCACGTCCCCTCTGGGGCGAGGCTGCACAGCAGCAGGAAACTACCCTGCAGCGGTGGTCTTACCACAAACAAATAGATGACCGCCGTCTGACTCAGGGGTTCTCAACCAGAAAAGGTCGCGCCCCCTAAGGTCAGGTGGCAAGGTCCAGAGACTCTTGACTGCCGAGACTCAGGGATGGGGTGGACTCCACTCCTGTCTCGTGGCTTCCACCCAAGAATGCGACTGAGATCTGACCACATGGTCTGCCCCCTGTACTGCCTGCTGTCTGGTGCGAAATGTCCACTGTGCTGCTATTGAGAAACTCTCATCAGTGAGACCATTGTCAGCCAAACCCCAGGGGTGAGACGGCTGGCAAATAACTAACCAGCCCTTTCCGGAAATGTCAAGGTCACAAAAGAGAAGGGACCCTCAGGGCTTTAGAACAGGCTAAGAAAACCTCAAACTAAATGCCATGTGGAGTCCTGGATCAGAATTCAGCCAGAAAAAGATTACTGGAAAAACCAGAGAATTCTAATAACGTCTAGTTATCAGGATCGAATTCCTTGGCTTGTAAAACGTACTTTGGTTGTGTAGTTGTTAACAACTAGAAATTCTGGGCAGACACATGCAAGAACTCCACTACTTTTGGAACTTTTCTGTCAACCTAAAGTTATTTCAAAATAAAGTTTTTTTAAATTTCTGGGTATTTGTGGATCCCACAAAGGGATAATTTATTAAAGTCCTTTTAGCCAGAATTTTGACAAAAATCCCACCATTAGAATAATACCATTTCTAAACTAGCAAAATATCATTAGACTCCATTAATCTTATTTTTATTCATGTATCTAATGGGATTTTTTTTAAATAAAAAGTTGTAATAAACAACCTTTTTATTGCCTAGTCATGGCAAAGAAATATGCAAATTGATTTCATAATGCTCAGAATGGAAGAAGAGGCTGGGAGACACGGTTCTCAGTAGAAAGGTCTTGGATTTCACTTCCTTCCCCACCCAGCTTAGAATCCATGGTGACGACTTGAGCCAGTCTCCTCCAGCATCCCCACTGCCCCGTCGGATTCCACGGCATTATCCTGGCCCCAAGCCCACCTGTTCACTCCGTCAGCACTTCCCACCCCGTGACGCACACGCACACGCAACCCCAGAGCGGTCCCACTGTACATTCCGGGTCTCCAGCCTCAACTGGGCCTTCCATGCTCTTCATCCTTCTAGAGTCCTCGGCTCCAGGTCTCCCTCCTTCCACTCCCTGGGAAAACCTGAGCCCCCGGGGGTAAGCCATGCTTTCCCTTCCTGCTGTCGTTCTGGCGCCCCCTGTGGACAACTTCAGCTTCCTTTACCACGGTAACACCTGGGCCCAAGGCTGCACCTGGCACCTGGAGCAGCTCAGTCAACGGAGAAACTACTAGGGAAACCAGTATGCAGCTTTCACAAAATAACTGAAACTAGAAACTGTACTTGACCCAGCTATAATATCCCCGCTTCTAGGTGTCTTCATGAAAGAGTTAGAGACATGATATTACAGTGATCCACACATACCTATGTTTCTAGCAGCACAACTCACAATGGCTAGATCCTGGAAGCAGCTTATAGGTCCATCAGCAGATGAATGGATATAGAAAATGTGGTTTTTACACACAACGGAGTACGACTGTGCCATAAAGAAAGATAAACTTCAAATATTCATAGGTAAATAGCTGCACCTTGAGACCATAACACTAAGTGAAATAAATTAGACACACAAACTTAAGTATCACATGGATTTTTTCTACGAGAAACCCAAAGTATATAGAGCAAAATAAAAAACAGGTCATAGGAAGTAGGGAGACAGATCTTTCTCAAACGGGCGGGGATCAAGAGATGAAGGGGAGAGGAAAGGAGGAATAGGAGAGGAATAAAAGACATTAAGATGTGTTATGTACATGGGCCAACTCCCCACAAGGAACGTAATCACGTACCATACGCATGATCTAATAAAGAAAATGAGCCGGGTGTGGTATCACATCCAGTAACCCCAGCACTAGGGAGGCTGAGGCAGGAGGATAACTGAGTTTGAGGCCAGCCTGGGCGATGAAATGAGTTCAAGGCCAGCCTGAATTACATAGCAAGACCCTGACTCAAAAAATTAAAAAAAAAGAAAATCTGAAAAAAATAAACACGGACTAAATGAACGATCAAGCAACCACTTGATGTGTTTATATAACGACCGAACTGAATCACTGTTTATTCCACTGGAGGAAAAAACATTGCAATATATAATGATTGCTACATTAAACGAAGTAATAAATACACCTTGAATATGTACAAAATACAGCGTGAATGTGTTGAACAGTACAAACAACATCCATATAAATACCACTCAAAAATTACCTTTTCAATTCCTGCTCCAGTTTTTCTATTTGTTTTCGGCCTGAGTTTAGCTGTCCCTCCTGGAAATTCACTTGTGACTCTTTGACTTGAAGTTCGTGAGAAATCTTCTGCTTACTTTTCTCCAAATTTTCACATATTTCCATCAATCTTTGGTTTTCCCTCTTCAGGTTTGTACCTTCAGTTTTTTCAGTTTCAACCTAGTAGGATTCATTGAGAAGGAAATAGAGCCCTTGTTCCATGAATTCACCAAGAATTACATGTAGGTCAGAGCCTGACAATGACTACTGATTTCCTAAAATGTCAGTTGTAGTGAGCGAGATGGCAGCGCTTCCTGAACACAGAAACCTAGGCTGGAGCCTACAGACCAAAAACAGCTCTACACAAGGACCCGAGTTCAATCCCCCGTACCAAAAAAAAAAGTACGTGGAAGTTTTCATTCACTGGACCTGAAGAGAAAGGCTGGGGGACATGGAGGTAAAAAAGTCCTCTGAGAAAGCCACCTCCACCCCAACGGCGAAAAGCTCAAATGCTAACCCCGGGTCGGAAGCAGGGACTGGGGCTTGCTGCTGTGCGGGGAGAAAGTGACTCCCAATTCAGGGTCCCCCCTGGAACTCAGAATGGACCCCAACATCCCTGAACATCGGCAGCTAGGCAGAAATGAGGACAGAGATGGAAAAGTTAGAGGCAATTAAAAATATCTGAAAAGCAGAGGGAGTTGCCACAAAGATAGAAAATCACTCTTCTCTACATTTTTTTTTTTTTTTTTGGTACCAGGGATCGAACTCGGGTCCTTGCACCTGCACAGCAGGCAGAGAAACCACTGAGCTAAATCCCGGGCCCTCTTCTCTCCATTTAAAGAAAATAAAATAATTCATCCACAAATGGGGGAAACCATTTCAAACCCCAGAGCCAGGCGGTACCTTCTGCTTCTGTTTCTGCAGTGCGGCCTCCAGCGTGTCAAGCTGAAACTGCCTCTGCTGCTTCTCTTTCTTGAGTTTGTCCAGCTGTCCCTCCAGCTCCTGAATCTTCTGTAGCGCTCTGGTAGGGAGGCCTTCCTTCCATTCTTCCAAAGCCCAGCTCATTCTGTTCACTCTCCTTTATTAGCCCAACATTTATAAGTGAACCGAAAAGAACAACCACACTGTTAAGCTTCACATAGCTAGAGGATCACCTGGAGTTCAAGGCAGCCTGAACTACATAGCGAGACCCTATCTCAAAAAAAAAGAAAATTTAGGCTGGAGATTTAGCTCAGTGGTGCTGCCACCTGCCTCACAAGTCCAAGGTCCTGAGTTCCATCCCTGGTACCCCCAAAAAGAAAGAAAATTTAAAGTCGGAGACTAATGAATGGGTTTACCTAACTATCTCCAAGAGTCAAGCGTGAAAGCATCACATTTCAAAGATAATATCTGCTCTGCATCCTCTGGAAGGTGGCTGCCAATGATTCATTTTAAAGTACATACTATGCTTGTTTGGAGCACCGTTATTCTGGGGTTTTCTCACCTCTCAAGTTCTGATTTCTTTATGGTCACCTACTTTCTACTGCACAGTTTGTTTTCATCATAGGAAACATGAAAGCTTTGCTTCAGGTGACCAAGATCCTGGCTGTAAACAAGTCAAACACCTGACTCACTACTCGCCAAATGCTCCTGCTTCCAGCTTCACATCATTAACTACCATCAACTTCATGCCTGTTCCTCGGAAACCCTTCCTGAGACGCCGACCTGGCCAGCTCCCTGTCGGTTTCACACACACATGCACGCACGCACCTCGTCTCCTTCCAGCCAGCGTGTGAATTAATGGAGAGCAAATGCAGCCTTATGACTAGGATTGTTCCAAAGCATGAAGTCATGCTTGGGTCAAAGTGGAAAGAGGCACACCAATTTAGGGACTAAAAGGGTGTTCAAGTGCCACTGCAGCTGCTTCAAAGATGAGTAAGCTTGGGCAAGTTATTTAAGGGCTCTGTGTCTTGGATTCCTTATTATAAAATGAAGCTAGTAATGGTAATGACCTTCTCAAGCCTAGAACAGTATCTCCTAGTGAGCCTTTATACATGTTAACCATTCTGTCAGTTCTTGAAAACACTTTTTTTTATTTGTGCATTTCAGCTTACGGTACAAAAGGTGAAGGGCCCGACCTCCTTCTCAGCTACAGCTTAGAAAAACTTGTATCCTCTAGGAGAAAAGCTTGGCTATTATTCTTAACTTTAGCCTTTAGAACAAAAAAAATCTAAAGAAAAGTCATTTTCTAGTTATTTTGGCAACAAGACGAGAATTTGGTTTCTGACTAAGAATCATAAAAAGATTTTCAAAAACTAAAAAAGAACAAAGGTCTTGGACAACACGTAAGTTAGAGATCAAGCGCTGGAAGCTGTGTTTCCACTGCCAGGATAATTTTTCTCCCAGTTGTCAGCTTTTGGAAGACAACCTTTTTATTTCCTTGCAGTACTAGAGATGGAACCCTGGGTCTCATACATGCTAGGCAAGTGCCACCACTGAGCTACATTCTCACCCCTTTGTTTTGTTTTGTGAGACAAGATCTTGTTAAGTTTCCCAGGCTGGCCTCGAACTTGCAAACCTTCTTGCCTCAGCCTCTAAAGGAGCTGGGATGACAGGTATACACCACTGCGCCCTGCAGAAGAGAACATCTTAAACTCCACCCCATTTGTCCAAAAACTACTAAAAGGAATCTCCTGCCTCTCAACTACCAAAGGGCAATTTAGCTTATTTGTTCAAGAGTAAGAGTACATGGCCAGGCATAGTGGTGCATCCCCTGTAATCCTAGCACTTGGGAGGCTGAGGCAGGAGGATCACCACAAATTTGAGGCCAGCCTGGATTACATAGTGAGTTCAAGGCCAGCCTGAACTACATAGCAAGACCTTGTCTCAAAAACAAGAATCTATCCTAAATAATTTAGCTGGCCACTGATGTCATTACATCAAGATGCTACAGCCAGCAAAATATGAAAAGGAGCAACTTAGAAAGATGTCAGAGATATGGGAAAAAAACAGAAGAAAAACTACCAAGTTGAATGCTTTCCCATTTCAAAGTCTAAGATACAGTTATATAAATATAATTGATATATTTACACTACATTAATGTGTAATATACCAGACCCAAGCTAACTATGATTACAGCAAACAGTGACTTGCTAAGACATCAGGTATCAGCCATCTATCTAGGACCAAAAGAACCAAAAAAGTCAGCCTGAAAAGCAAGATTTAAGGGGCAAAGTTGGGGTGGGAGGGGCAAGGATAAAGAAAAGCCCTGAATGTTAAGCTTCCTGCAAGAGGGTTTGCAGGACGAAAGGGCACATCCTGTCCAGAAAATAATTGTCTTTACACTTTCTTAAATATGTGGGGGACACTCCGTTCCCGGTCACCCAAGCTCTGTAATGTCCCCGAGGAGGCTCTTGGGTGCCCCAGTCGCCTTCCCCAGCTCTGCAGCCCGTTTTCACCATTTCCCATTAACAGGTTCCCCAGCCGCCGCCAAAAACCCCAAGGGCCTGCGGCGCCCAGGGCTGGACCTTCACCGCACCGGGCTCCTCGCGGGTAGGACTCGGCTCATTTATTTCTGAATCTTGATCACCGAGCAGAGCCTGCCACACCGGCGAGTCCACATAAAGGTGGAAGGAAGGAAACGCAAACCCAGCAAATAACAGGGCAGGACCCGACTCCCGGCCCGAATCCCAGCAACGAGGAGGGCTCCGACTCGACAGAGCTCCGGACTGGGGAGGGGGCTCGGGAGGAGGCACCTGCGGGTCTTTCACCCTGTGCAGGAGGAAACCGATCCGCGCGCCCGCCGCCGGCTCGGAGCCGCTCCCGGCCGCTCACCTGGCTGCCTCGCTCAGGCCGCTTCTCCGACCGTCCGCTTAGGCGCAGTCTCCGCGATCCGGAGCCCCGATCCCGATCCAAACCGCCATCCACCGCCACCCGGGGGACCCTTTGCCCGCTTCCGGTCCTGCTCAAACTCGCCTCTGCCGCCTATTGGCCACTGCAAACAGCTGTGCACCAATCCACTTCTGCACTCAAGGTCTGCCGCCTGTGATTGGCTCTTTTGTATGGGTTTAAAAAACAAACCCTCTCGCCAGGCTGTGCCCGCGCTGGGGCTCGGACGCTTTTCTGTTGTTGCTTAGAGACAAGACCGTCTGGTGCTGTAGAGGCGGGACGCTGGTTTGAACCCGCGTTCGGCAGACGTCCGCAAAGGAGCCGGCTGATTAGAAGGGTGGGGCCTATCTCCCACAGCCTGCGGAATGATACACGGCTCACATTCAAGTCTGTATTAAGTTTAGAACGCGTACTAAGTACTACGCTTGCTATTGCATCAGTCATCCAACGTCCCAAGTAATAGCCTCATTTAAAAGTTATCAGAGGCCCATAGAAGCTAAATAATTTGAAACTGAATCTAGACAGGCAGGCTCTGGCTTGTAACTGCTGACCTCTATTAATCACATTTTGATGGAGTTCTCTGAACACGGGGGTTTGAGGAGGAGACATCCATCAGACTTGCATATTCAGAAGAATCTTCAATACTGGGTTAAATTGCTTCTTTGTATGAAGTCCACCCGCTTTGCATATAGATTTGTGTATTTATTTATTTTTTCCTGTTCAACTATAAATGAGCTTCTAAAGGCAGAAGCACAGTGTGAACTGTTAAATGATGTGTTGTACTCTTCAATAAGTTCAAAATTTTCCCAATCCTCCCTTCACCATTCTTTAGACTATTCCTACAGCCTGGTCTTCACCTTTCACTGAAATTCTGCTAGTCCCTCAGCACCCTAACTTTCTTCATAAAACCTCCCTATTCCCACTCGCTGCTTAGAAATGCTTATGTCCTACGCCTTGATTTATACTTGCAGGATTTTTGTCATGTGTTATATTTATGTCTATGTCTGGCTCTTCAATCAGACTCAAAATTCCTTTACAGTAAAATCTGTTTAATCCTTCTTCGCAGCCCTAATGTCTCCCCAGTGACTCAACACACAGTAATTTGGAGGTAAAATCTGAAGAAAGGCTTGGTTCTCCAGGACCCTGGAATCCGCAAGTGGAGGACAGGGAGCAAGTAAAGTGAACAAAACTTTTGGGGACCCTGCTAAGATCAGTCTAGTACCTAGTAGTTTGAATCAAATTCTAAGTCCAGCACTAACTACTATTCCATTGCTTCCCAGGGTCATTATTCCATTATTCCTCAACCACCTAAGAAAAACAGAACTAGAAAGATAAGTAATCGGGCCAGGGATGTAGCTCAGTGGCACCGCACCTGCCTCGAAAGCTCAAGGTCCTGAGCTCCATTCCCAGAACAGGAAAAAAAAAAAAAAAAGATAAGTAATCGAGGATTTTTAAAGTTTGAAGGCAAAATTTGTCCTTACTGTATGCATTCATTCATTGCTTAGCAGCTTCCTGTCTAGATTGCACACACAGCCAAGCCTTGTGCTACTTTCTTCTCTCATAAACGATTAAAAATGCATTCCCCAGAAGAGAGTCATGTAATGGAGACTTCTGGTAACTTCTGTGATATTTCTTTGACTTTGATTATTTAGTTCTCTTCCCTTGCTTCTATTTTCCTGCAGTTTATTTGGGTTTTGGGGAAAAGGGACAGTGACCAGGTGAGCCCCATCCAACCAAATGTAGTCGCCCTCTGACAATCCACTTCCCGGTTCTTTTATCCTTTCAGTCCGCCCGCTACTTCAGTGAGCCAGTTCTTTCCCTCCAGTCTGCTCGTCTTCCACGTTTACTCCGCGCCTGTGAGGGAAGACTCTGGGACCTTCTCGTCTTTTCCTCTCCAGCTTATACTGGAGCGCTCATCACTGAAATCACCCTCTTGCCGGAGTCCTCAGCTGCCCGGTCTAGTGTTCTTCTTGCCCCCGAGCCTGTGTGCGTGCAGCTGCCCGCTGTGCGTGCCCTCCCTGCGTGCACTGCGGAATGGTGTGGAGTAGAAGCCCAGGCCGTGTAGACCTTCTGAGGGTGACTTCTCGCTGGGCTCCAGGGCTCCCTCCAGCCCCTCCTCCAATTTTCACAAATTCTCTGATTGTTAACGACCATCTTCACCCTCATGCCCGGGAGGCCACCTCAGCACACGGTTGACAGAAAATGTGCCTTCTGACAGGACCACCTTCTGCTTCCTGCCCCCAAATCTAAAAGCTTGCCAAAATCAATACCTGTCACTCCGCTCCCGTGTTTCCTGTTACAACCATGGTAAACACTTCCCTCCTTGAATGGCTCTGAGTTCTGGAGCACAGAACTTCCTCCTCTCGAAGATGCTTTTGCACACAAGCATCTTTACCCGCCTCCACTTCCCTGGCTCTTCTTAGCAGCACTGAAACTGCCCAAATTCCCCCTTAAAGGGGGATTTAGCTCAGTGGTTTCGCCGCCTGATGCGCAAGCGCAAGGACCCGAGCACGATCCCCGGTACCAAAAACAACAACAACAACAAAAAACCTCTCCATCCTCCTTTCCCATCCAGGGATCTTTCTATCGCTCTCCTCACATCCATTTCTTTTAAAGATTTGATTAAATTAGTTACTGTGCTCTGTTTTTTTTAGTACCAGGGGTCGAACTCGGGTCCTTGCGCTTGCGCAGCAGGTGGCAAAACCACTGAGCTAAATCCCTGCCCTATCGTGTTCCTTTTAATCGATTATTGTTTCAAAGACCCCTCAATGTACTTTTTATAAATGTATATAAAGTATAATATACCTTTTATAAATATTGATTTTGCTAATTGTTTTCTCTATTATTATGGATTTGCTCTCCATATGTTCTTAAAAATTATGAGCTCTTAGTGTTATAGTAACCCTAATAGTTACTATTTCTGACAAACTTTATTCTGTGTCCTTTAGTTATAATTTTCTTACTGTCTAAAGAAATTCATTATCTGGTACTGAATTTCCTTAGTTTTTGCTTGTGTGAAAATCTTTATTTTTGTCCTCGTTTTTTGAAAGATATTTTTTCTAGGAACTCTATCTGGACCGGTGTTTTAGTTTGTTTGGTCCTACAAATGCTTTAAAAATATCAGCAATTTTCTTCTGGCTTATATGATTTCTGATGAGAGGATTGTATTTTTCTTGACTTTGTTCCTCCCCAAATATCTTTTTACTCTGGCCGCTTTGTAGATGTTCTTTTATCCCCTTTTCTTTTAAATGTGATTTAATTTATATTTCTCCTGTTTAACATTGGTTACACTTCTTAAAACTGTATGATTTTTTTCAAGTTTGTAAGATTTTTGGACATTTTTTGCAAATATTTCTTGTCTTCTGCTTCTGGTATTCCACTACATGCTTTTAGACTGTGTAATGAGATTTTTTTTTTGAGCTAGGAATTGAACTCAGGACCTTGCACTTTCGAGGCAGGCGGCGGCACCACTGAGCTAAATCCCCAGCCCTAATGTGATTTTTAAAGGGCACTGATGCTCTATTTTTCAGTCTTCTCTTTCCTCTCTGTATTTTATTTTGCAGAGTATCTGTTGCTACTTTTCCATGTTTATCGATCCTCTGATTCTGTAAATTTCAGTTTTCTGATTCTGTAAATTTCAATTTTCAGCCATTGTATGTTCCCTTGATAGCAATATTTGTTTTTCTGTTATATTTCCCAAAATGTCATGTCTTAACAACAACAAAAAAAAGGTCAGGTCTTCTTCTTAATCTTCAGGATGTTCAACATTCTTTATAAAACTATAATCAGGTCTGTAATCTACTAATTATCATTCCCATTCCTGAGCCTGTTGCTGTTATTTTTTTCTTCTCAGTTATGATTCCTGGTTCTTTCTATATTTAGAGATTTCTGATTAGATGCTAGACATTATACATTTTACATCTTTCTGTTGTGTTGTATTGCTGGGAAGATTTGTATACATTTCTTAATTCCAACAATTAAGTTGCTTATGATTCAATTTGGCTACTTTTCGAGTGGCTATTGGGGTTTTGCTGTTGGTTTTGTTGTTTTGTGACAGGGTCTCCCTATGCAGTTCAGGTTGGCCTTAGACTGACTGTGTTGCCCAGCTAGGCCTCGATCTTGCAGTGATCCTCCTGCCTCAGCTTCCTGCTGGGATTACAGCTGTGCTCCACCGCACCAGGGAATATTAGGATTTACAAAGAACAATCTGAAAGAAGCCTTCCTTCTAGAAGGCCATTTCTAAGGCCTGATTCTTCTGGGGTTTCCACAGAATTCCCCACGTATTCAGCAAGATCTTTCCATGCTGGTTGATGGGAACTTGGACAATTCTTGGCCCTGCATGAGCTCTTAAAATTGTGTGATTCAGGGTTCCTCCAGTAACTGTTCTTTTCCTGAAAGTTGTTTCTTTTTTCTTTCTTTCTTTTTGGTACCGGGGATCGAACTTAGGCCTTTGCACTTGCAAGGCAGGTGGCGGAACCACTGAGCTAAATTCCTGGCCCTGAAAGTTGTTTCTATTCCCAATCTGATGCAGTTTTGTCACGGAGCTTGGTCTGAGAAGTCCCCAAGGCTGAATGAAAGAATTTTACCCACTCTTTTAAAATAAGTTTGGGGCCAGGGATTTAGCTCGGTGGTGCCACTGCCTGCTTCGCAAGCACAAGGTCCTGAGTTCAATCCCTGGTACCAAAAAATAATAATAATAATAATAAAATAAAATAAGTTTGTAGCTCTGCTGACTCCCATCACAGAAAAAGAATTTTCAGGATGCATCAGTAAAACAGACACAAGAAGAGTTTACTAGGACACACTCAGTGAGGTGCAGGTGCTCAGAGAAAGGATACGCCGTACCAGCCGAGTGGGGCACACTGAAGGGTTGTCTGCAAGATGGATGATCTAGGATGTGTGTTTCTGCTGCCTGTCCGGTTACAACGTGAGCTGTGTGTACGTGCTCGAAGTTGAGATGCTGCCCACCGTATTGCTGCTTCCTTGAGAGTGGAGGAAGTGCAGTTTACAGGCGAATAGGACAAATCTTGTGCTGGGATTTACAGGGCAATTGTAAAAAGACTTTTAGAGTTTTTTAAATG